CCATTAATTTTTTTTTTCGTTTTTTCTTATAAAATCTTTTGGAATAACTATTTATCACTAAAAATGATGGAATTAATCAAAAAGTATGTTATTCATGAATTGTTAAATTCATAGGAAAAGAAAAATTATTTCAGATTAAAAGTCTATTATGAAGTGAAGAAAAAAAATCCTTTTGTTAATAAAGAGACAAGTTGATTAAATAATAAAATAATAAGAAAGCACGGTTAAAATTTACAGTTCATTAAAAGCAATTAGAGTTCAGTGTAAAAATAAAATCTGTAACCTTACATTTGATAGGATAAACAATGGTTATTATTTTTTATTGCTATTGATATTTAAAATAATTGACAAGAATTTTTTTTTCGTTCAGTTTTCTTCATTTTATTTAGTTGTCCTTGATTGTATTTCAATAGAAATATGAAGGAAAAAAAAAGAAATCTAGAATTCAATTCTGACTGATCCGCACCAGTGACTCGAGTCTAGCGAACTGAGAAGAAGTACTCTAGGTCTCTAAACATTTACGACTGGTAATTGTTAGCAGTTGAGAGCATTCCATCAAATTCCGTGAAAGAACTCTAGAAAAATGAACATTTTTCTTTAACAACATTTTTCTCCTTTTTTTCCTCCTCTAACCATGATCTTTTAATTCCTTTGCTTACCTTAAGTCAGAATAATGTATTCTTAGTAAATAATTTCTTAGAATAATTGAAATAGCTCAAGCTTTTCTGTACTGTTCACAATTCACATGTAACGGTCGTGGAAATTGCGGAAAAGACAAGTACCTTGGAGTATATAGAATTCGTTGCGTAATAATGAGATCAACTATCTATAGCTATAATCATTATGACTGTTGACAACAATGATATTCATATCTATTACTTGAAAAATAAAACATTTTATTAAATGACTTTGAAATATAATCTAATAAAGGTGGACCATGTTGAATCATTCATAAATTTGTTCATGATTACATAGTACATTTGTATTCATGTAAATATTTATCTCTAATAGAAAAGCTTAGGATCTAAATTGAAATAATCAGAATAAAACAGGATATATGAGTGAGAGAGCCGAAAAAGGTTTTAATGCGTGTGAAAAACAAGTTTTTTTTCATCTACCGTCATGATGATAATGAAGAAGATGAGGAAGACGATGATGATGATCTTTCTTCGTCATTGCCATCAACTGAAAATCTATCTTACCTGACTCTCGTTGGCAGAGTCTCGAAAAATGTGGCAGCTGGTTGGTGAGCCTGGGAATATCTTCAATTCTAGCCTCAATTATACGGTCTCCTTCATCTAATTGATGGCTTATCCTCAGTAATCACTTCTAAAAATCATGTAATGAATAAACATTTAAAAAAAAAGGAGATTGAGTCTAAGAAATATCAGAAAGAAATTGCTGCTCAACTTTACCACTCAAAACTATATATTTTGGACAAATTATCAGAAACAGGAGTATTTTGTTTTACTTTTACCAACCACAAGTAATGTCATGATGATATGTTTTTGTTAATTACTATGTTTGAAATATTTTTCAAAAGTAATCATTAATTTAAGTAAGAAATTTCTTTTTATTCAATTATTTTAATAAGAAATAATTAAGTTAATGTAAATACTTTTTTCTTTCGTTCAATTTCTGACTGTTTTTCATCAAGTTTACTGTCAGTATTGCTTAAAAAATTTTCTCTTATTGACACACATTCAGTTTCCCATGGACAATTTGTAAAAAAAAAAATCCTTTGATACATTCGATTGATTTCGCGTCTCGAAATGAAACCAACATGACAACTTACATTTTTTAATTTTGTTTTTCAATACACTTATTAAGAAGTAATGATTCTACGTGATCCTGTCACGCTACACATATTTCCAAGCAACAAAGATACCTTTTCCTCTCTCTTTTGCGGTCTCGTTACGTGGCGCAAGCCATTGGGTGGAGGACGTCTTGAGGCAAGGCCGAAAGATCTACTCCTGCCCCTCTTTCATTATATTTCACACACGTCATATTTTCCCTTTTTTTTTTTACATACTTTTCTTGTGCCTAAGACCAACTGTAAAGCGTGGCATGCGTGATTTGAGGCCTCACGTGTTCGGGTAAAAAACAAAAATAGAAAAATTACCCGAAATCAATACGTTTGTATGTTTTACGGTTCTTTTGTGGTAAAATATTTTTCTGGTAAATTTTTTTTTTGTTTTAACATAACATTTGACTTTAAAAGCAATTATTTGAACAAAGCCATCAATTATAATGCATTTGTTATTTAATTTATTTATAAAATTACAAAATTTATTTCTCAGAATAGAAATAAAAATGTTGAATTTTCAAATAAAATAAATTTTAGCACAATATATAATACCATAAACATCATTTAATAAACCTAATTTTGATATGTTATGGTATTAATCTGGTAATATCAAAGATAAATCGTATTGCAGACCATTAATATTTGAAATCCCTCAGAAATTTAGAATGTAACATTTTTTCGTGTATTTTTGTCTGGTTGAAAAATAATTGTACGGTTGAGTGACATTAGAGAGGGTCCAAAAAGACTTCTCGAGTTTTACTGCAAACAAGCCGATGACGGATGAGAGGAGACTTGGAATATGGGTCTCAAGTCGCGAGTCGGAAGGAGAAAAATATAGAAGTAGAAAAAGTAAGAGGAAGCAAAGCCAGACAAGCGAGATATAAGTGCCTTTTTGAATTCTACACTACTTATACTAGAGGCCCTAAGAAAACTTGAATGAAAGAACTCCCCGATCCCGTAATCTGTGATTCTTAGTCGAACTCTTACCTATCGAATCTTATATACGGAGATCCGCCAATTTATTGAGCTAAGTATACTACCTTTTCAATCACTAACCCCTGGAGTTACTAATCCACTTTGACGCGTTTTTCGACTAGAGGTAGTTTCAATTGACAATTTGGAGGAAAAAAAAATGTTTGGAAAACGGAAATGTAGGATTTATCAAGTCTTCGTTGATTTTTTTAAGCTAAAGTCAGTCTCTTTGCTTTTTCAAAATATTCGTACGGTTTATTTTTTTTTTTTTTTGTTGAAAAAATATTTCAAAAGTCTGATAAAGAGCATTTAGACGAATACAATCAGTCATGTAATTTGTTAAAAAGATGAAAAAAAAATTTATAATAAGATTAAAATGAAATGTGATTGTAATATATATAAAAATGTATTGTATGATGATAGTAGAATTATTTTTAACTATAAAATTAGTTGTTAACAGAAAGGAGCTTTTTTTTTGACTCTTTTCATGTTTATTTCCCAACTTGTTGCTGCGCTTTTGGACTTGACTCAAGTCTGGACTCAATCTCATTAATGTGATGATGGTCTAGCTATTCTTTTCTGAGTCTTAAAGTCTCTACATTAAAAGTTGAAAGCATCACCGGTGCAGGTATTATAATCCCAAATTGACTGTGACTTCATGGAGAGAATTCTCTTGATCATCTGCGGACGTCATTAAGGTCGTCTTGGCGGACGAATATTTAAATTTAATTTACGAGAGCCGTAGGCTAAATATTATCTCTTTCTTTTCTTCCTCCTTTTCTTAAATATCTCGATGCTTTATTATATCCATACTCCAAATGTCGGTATTTAGACTGATGTTCTTAATCAATCTTTTAAAACCAGTAAACAAGACAATCATAATATAATGAACCTGTTCTCTTATTTTATTTTATTTCTTTTCTATATATATATATATGATATGTCAAAATGAGTAGAACAGAATTTAGTGTCTGAGCAAAAGATTTGACTTAAGACGCAAAAGTTTGTATGCCGGAAGACATTTAATAGTTGGACCTCCAAGTCACGGTAAAATAAAGAAGAAAGAGACGGGATTACGTGGGTTGAAGAACGCACGAACTTGACATCAGCAAGGACACATTTCGAAATATCAAGAAAATCAATTTTTCTGTCATTAAAGGACAGTCAATAATCAACAGTCATTCTATGATTTTTCTCTCTTTTCAACTGCCAACAATATCTCGAATGCTATTTGATAGAATCGTTATTTCTCAATATGTATTCGTTGAAATCATTTCTTTGATGGTCACTGAAAGGCAAATGATTTCATGCTTTTTGATTATTCAGTCTTTTGGATGATTAATATTATGTCTATTGTTAAATAAACACAACTATTTTTTAATAACAATATTTAATGTAAAATTACATTTTTATTTTTTAATTAGTTTTTCTTAATTAATTATTATTTGACTAAAAAAAAACCCGTGAATATCAAGATTATAAAATGATTCATCAAATTTGTCTAATCAAATAAATTAGTCATCTAAACACTTGAAAAAATTCAAGAAATTTTTCAAGCATATCAATTAATCAATTTTTCAAGTTAATATGAAAAAAATGAACTAAAACTAAAAGGAGATTGGATTAAAAATTTTCTCCGAAATACTTAGGAATTTTTTGAAAGTTTCTCAGGTGATATTTTGATGTAAGGATTTAAGAATTTCGTGACTGAGATGAATTACTTGTATCTGTGGTTTATGATCAAAGAAGAAGAGAGAAATATGGCAATGAGATTGGAATATTTGAGACAGAAGCGAGACAACATTGAGAGTAACATATAGGAGTAATGTGTATATACATATATAGAATATAGAGAGTATAAAGTAGGAGAGCAAAAGAGTAAAAGAGTTGCGCGATCTATGCGGTAGCATACAAGTCAACCAGTCAGGTATAGCTCGAGGCTATGGTATGATAGACAAGGTCAGCTTCTTATGTATGTGTAATGCTTGGCTGATCTTACTCACCAACTGGACCCTGTCGACAGTTTACTATTTATTTATAAACGCAATTAATACAAAATCTTTGATTTTATTTAATTGATAATTTATGAATAAATAATAATATGACATTTATTAGTTGTATATATATTAAATTTGATAAAATAATGGAATAATTATTTCATAATAATTATTTTATGTAAGCTTAAAGTTTTAAATTCCAACGTTTGTTTGTTTGGTTCTAGATATTTGGCAGTAAAGCAGATCTCCAGCTGCACACTCAGATCCACATGAGAGAAGCAAAGCCGTATAAGTGTACGCAGTGTTCAAAAGCATTCGCCAATTCGTCCTACCTTTCGCAGCACACGCGCATTCACTTAGGAATAAAGCCGTACCGCTGCGAGATATGTCAGAGGAAGTTCACCCAGCTAAGTCACCTGCAGCAGCATATCCGCACCCACACAGGTGATAAGCCTTACAAATGTCGTCACCCAGGCTGCACAAAAGCCTTCAGTCAACTGAGCAACTTGCAGAGTCACTCTCGTTGCCATCAGACAGACAAACCCTACAAGTGCAATTCGTGCTACAAGTGTTTCGCAGACGAGCCGAGTCTTTTAGAGCACATACCAAAGCACAAAGAGTCCAAGCACCTCAAAACCCACATATGTCAATATTGCGGCAAAAGTTATACCCAAGAGACTTATTTAGCCAAGCACATGCAGAAACATGCTGAAAGGACAGATAAAAGACCACCAATCATTGGAACCGGTCTAAGGCCGTCCATTCATGCAATGGCTCATCATCAAGAGCATCACTATTGGCCAAAAGTCAGTCCTGATTCGGTTATTGGTGACCTCCATGACAGGCTGCCACATCATCACGCAGCAGCTGCTGCTGAATATCATCAGAATCAGAACGATATGTTACTTCAATCGCATGGTGGTCATCGGGAATCTATTGAAAATGATTCTAGGCAACAAACGCCCCAACCGCCCGGAAATCACCATCCCAATTCGAGTTCAGCTTTCACACCCATTTCCTCCATTTCCATCAACTCAATATCCTCAATGCAACATCCACTAAATCCTCTAAATCATCTACACTATCCTGGTAGTCATCATCCGGCATCGCGGCCTTACCTCTACGAAGCATTTAATTCACAAAAAGCATCTCCAACGTCATCAACTGGCGTTACACCTGGAACTAATACCAACCAAAATGCCACATCTTTCCCTAATCAACTGATTAGTCTTCATCAAATTAGGAATTATGCTCATCAACCGAATTTAGGAAATTTGGGAAATCTCGGCAACATTAGTACTTTGAGTAATTTGGGCAATCTTTCAGCATCCATGGAAAGTCATGCTCTCTTAGGAGGGCTCAAAGATAAACAGTAAATCTAGGATTTTTTCTGTTTAATGTGTGTGGTACATGTGTGTGAGAAAATTCATAACTCGTGAGAATATTAACATATTGGTGAGAACGATAAGTTTTTAAAAAACAAAGTATTAGATTTTATTTTAAAATCTATCAAATTATCATGTTTATAAACAGTTTGGATAAACTCTGAAACAAATTATATTAACAAATATAAACAAGTCATACAGAGTCCACTTTTTATGACATAATTGAGAAAAAAACGAAAAAAAAAAAGGAACAAATTAATGAAAGAATTTTGTTCTCTACGATCATTTTGAAAAAATTTTATTAATCGGTAATTATACAGATCAGTAGCAACCCTTCGTATCTCCATACTATCATTTACTATTCGTCGCTTCTCTTGTGCCAATTAAATAAAGTTTAATTGAATCGGTGTGCAAACAATCAAAGATTTACAGAACGTTTTGAATTATTGTGGTACTAATAACAGCTTAAACTTGATGCTTTTCATGTTCTACAAGAATATCTTTTCTATTAATTTCAATTGTTTATTTTATTAGCTTTTTTCTCTTAATAAAAAAAATGATCAAAATAAAAAAAAAATTATACATATTATTTATGTAACAACAAAATATACAAAATAATTATTTATTATTTCTTCTATCTACTCTATTACTTTAAAAAAAAAAACTCATTATTATTATCATCTTAAAATATTTTAAGAGCACAAATCTATCAGTCTTAACATCGTTATAAATACGTAATCAATTATTTAATAAAATTTTTTATTTCACATTTCGATTCATATGCATCCAACATATTTTTTGTGTTTGTTTTTTTCCTGCCCTCATTCACATTTTTTACCTCGTGGCATCGTCAACTCTATACCTATCTCTTCGCAAAATATTTTTACTTTTCCTCGTTTGCTCTCAGTTCCCTCGTTCTCTTTTCCTCTCTTTTCCGTTCTCGCATTTAACAAAAACATCCTTGCGATTTGTGCTCTCGTGAGTTTACGAACATTTTTTTATCTTCTCGAATTTTTTTTGCATCATCTATTCATTACACTCTTATTTTTTCACCGTAATATTCCCTTCATATGTTGTTTTTATTTATTCTCTAAATTTTGCGAAATAATGTAAGTGTAAATTTCCATTTTTTCTTTTAAAAAAAAAAAAAAAAAGAAACAAAAGTTAAATTGACATCCATTTTATGACTAACAGTTTATACGATATTTTCAATTAATTTGTAGTTGTTATTGTTTCTTAATTAACGTTATGTAGTACCGTTGTGATTCAAGAGTCATAATCAAAAAATAATAAATATCTAGATGGGGTGTACCCAAGCAGATATTGTCATTCAGGATCTAATTGATATCAGTAAGTACATACATTGAGAAAAAAAAAAACTAAAAATGTTGAGAAATAAGTGGAGATGATAGCTTAAAAAAAAAGGTATTCCTGTACATGCACAAAATCTTCAGGTTCAAATTGCAATTGGCACCACAATGTTATTAAGAGTTTTTACAAGTTTCTGATGATTTTCAGAAAACATTATTTTGATATTGTTTCCTTTAATTGATGTAGAAGAAACGACGTAGAAAAAAACAATAGTATAAAGAATTGTCGTAAACCTGTTTGACTATCGTCATTTACATCGTTTGATTTTGATTTTAATTGAAAATAAATTCTTTATTTATTTTCTTTAATTGTCATTGATTATTTCAAATATAAAAGAAATCCTTTTTATAAATACTATTTGAAATGTTCGTAGAGTTAAAATTATTTCTTAATTATTGATGAAAAAAGTTTTAATTTTTTTTTATTGATTACACAAATTTGTTTCATGTCTTGAATAGTAAATGTAAAAAAATTATAAAAGTTCAAACTAAAATCACGAAATTTGAATTTAGCTCCAAATAAATAACAACAAAAAGACAGTACGGATAAACAAATATAGATAAATAATACGTTATTAGTGAAAAAAAAATCGATTAAACTGTAGATAATTTCTATTGTTGTGGTGTGAGCTTCGATTCATTCTTATGACCAATTTCCAATTTCTTTTTTTATTTAACAATATTCTACATTTTCTCTTCAAATGTAGAATATTTTTATTAAATTATTTTCTTATGTTTAATAAATTATTAGTTACAATAATACTGTAATAGTAGAAAAAAATTAACAAAGAGAAATAAATTAATGATTTAATTGAATATAAGAATTGTTACTTAGATGATTATTGTTTTTTTTTATAATTAATAATAATTTTTGTTGATAGACACTAAAAATTTGAAAATATACATTTCAAATGTTAGAAAAAAACTGTGTAATAATAAAAAGATAACAAAGAAAAAAAAAATAATTTGGAATTGATGATTTCTCTTAAGAATAATCGATTTTAAAGCTCACCCATCGTTTGTGCTCAAGTTGTTTACTATTAGTTTGTTATTAAGAAAATATAATATTCTACCATTTAATGAATTATTATAATATAATTGTCACAGTCACACACATTGATCTTTTGGTTTCCTTTCGATATAAAAATGATTGAACAATAATAGAAATTGTTACGCCAGGTAGCGTGAATTATGAGTGCAAGTTTATTTGATTTTAATGTAATAACTAAAAATGTTTTGACTGTAATAAATAGTTAAGAATGAGTGGATGTTTGAAAGAATAAATTTTTAAACGACACATTTTGAGAAAATCAAATGAATTTACTCAATTTAAGTAAAATTGATAAAAAGAGTAAATGGGATAAAATGTGTGAATATGAGAATGAGTGGAAGAAAAAAAAACGTACAAAGATCAAGAAAGAGGGAAGGAAGCAGTAAAAATAAAGAGAAAAAAGGAGAGAAAAATGATAACAAAAGAATTGAATAAATATTATATAAATAAATAAATAAATGTAATTAAATGGAGAAAAAATAATTTTGTTTTAATTAGAATGAAACATTATGAAGATGGAATAATTCATTTAGTTAAATGAATGAAGTAAATAAAAAAGTAAATTAAATAATTTTGTTATGGGAAACCAGGGACCTCGCGCTTTAATTGTGATTTATTTCTGTCTATCTTTATAGTTTCAATTTATTAGATAATATTTTTATTATTATTATATTATTATTATATTATATTATATTATTATACCTATAATTATTATCATTATTATTATACTTATAATTTCGTTTAATAAACTATCCCGTTGACAAAACATTTCATACTTTGTAATTTTTGTTTTTATTTATCATTTACTTTTTATTATTATTATTATTATTATTATTATTATTATTATTATTATTACATAACATTTAAATTTTAGTTATTGAAAAATATTTTCCATAGTAAAATTGTGGATGTTATACAAATAGTTGATGATGTTAAAAAAAAATTCATTTGAGTTTATAATAATTTTTCATTATTCATATAAATGAATAGTCTAATGAATACAAATAGAATGAAATAAGGAATGTTTTCTCTCTGTCTCTTGTAAAATTGAATTTGTAATAAAAAAATTATTAATTTTTAATAATTAATAACTGATGAGTAAAAAAAAAAATAGAACGCCATAAAATGAAAAATAAAAGACGACATATTAATTAGTATTCTTTTAATTTTTTTTATAAAGTAATAATAATTCTATAAATATTTGTTGATGGACCAATAATTGATTGCAATAATAAATAATTTAACTGTGTTGTTTTATAAAATAAATAGATATTGTATTTTTTTTTATTACCCAATCATTATTATTATTATCACTATTATCATTAATTAATAATGGCTTCCAACAATTTATGCCGTCCAAATGAACAAAAAAGTTTTTAGTCATCCATTATAAACAAATATAAAAAATAAAAATGAAATTGATATTTTTTTTTCATAGTTTTGATGATTTTTTTTTTCATTTATTCTAAATGCTAATCAATATTATTCATAAACCTAATTAAGAATAATTTTCTTTTTAATATAATTGTCAGTGTCAAAACGTATTTCAACCAATCTCTTCATTTATTAAACGGTAGTGCGAATGATTATATTTAAATAAATGTAAAAAAAACAACGGAAATGATTTTAAAAATAAATAAATTTTACGAATGATTATCGTGTGTGTATGTATGTATATGCACAAAAATTATTCAACAAAAATAATTGATAAAAGAAATAAAAAGATAATTATGAACTACAATTAATTTGATGAAACTAGAAAAATTTATAATATAAAAGAAACAATATATATGTAAATAAAATATATATATATATATATATTGCGTGGTACGAACAAAACTGTGATATTTAATTGTATAATATTAAGAATAATGGTAACAAAATATTCAAAGTAAATTATGATTAACTGATTGATCATCAATTATTAATTATAATGCAGGAGAATTCATTAAGTGAATTAATATAAATACCAGTAAATCTTAAATTAATCGTAGTATGGAATTTTACTGATGTATTTTCAAATGAAAAAATGCTATTTATACATGGGAATATTCAAATTGAGTAAATAATTAATACAAAAAAAAAACTACAATTAATCTTTAATTTAGTGAAACTACAACTGAAAAGAAATCAGAAAATCCCAAATCTATTCTGAGAAGTCAAAAGAAGCAATATAAAGTATTATAGAAAAAATTGAAGTATTTGAATTTTCCATGAATGAATAGAAATTGAAAATCGTATGTTTATTCGTTTCTTGTTTGTAAAAAAAATTACTATAAATAAATAAATAATAAAAATTACTAAAATTAAAATATACTAAATGTTTGACGAGACAAATTCCAATTTTTGAACATTATATTCAAAGATTTTAATTCAAATAATATAGGAAATATATAAAGAAGAATAATTTTTAAAAAATAGATAAAAGGGTAAAAAAGCGTGGTGGTAAAGATAATCGAACAAAAAAGCACGTAAATATAACTAATTGTTAATACTGAAATAAAATAATAATCATTTTTTTTCTAGTATTTATATATTGCATCCTCCGACTGATTATTATTCATAGTAATCTTAGAATTGGACTCCATTGAAGTGTGACTCAAAAAAATTTAATTTCTTAATATTTTAACATCAGTCTGAGTCAGTACACAATCATAAATTTTTTTACGTCACTGATTAAATTATTCAATATTATGGGAAATGCTATAAAATAAAATTTAATTCCAACAGACAGAAGATGAATGTTAAAGAATCACATTATATAGAATAAAATATTTAGAAAATAGTACCAGAAAATAAAGAGCATCGATTTGTTATTTAAATAATTTTTTTCAACACAATCGTATTGTTTTTATGCCAAAATAATATGCATAGAAATATTATTAAAGAAATAAATCGTCCTACTGATAAAGAACGGAGTAATAATTATTTACAGAAAAAACATAATTTTTTAATAATGAAGAGGAAAAAAGTAATAAAACAAAACAATCGATTGCTCATAGCCAATAAACGTCTATATCATTATAGACATAATTTAGATGTTTTAAAATAAGAAAAAAGTGAAAATAACTCGTCTTTTAACTTTTTAATCTCATGATGTCATATATTAGCTGAATTTAGATGAATGAGAATATTTGACATGTATATACAATAATTTAAATAATAAAAGGAAAAGGGAAAAAATATTTCGCTCGTATATAAAATAATTCATCTGACCTTAATACTATTAAATATCATACAACGAAATTGATTGAAAATATTGATCTTAACAAATTGTATGTATACAACAAAAAAACATCCATTTCCATTTGTTTCATTTCTTTTAAAACTTGTAAAAAGTGGAAATATTATAAAAAAATACATGAAACATTATAAAAGTTAGAGAAACAAGTGTCAGTACCTTGATAATCATTTGAATTTGTCTTCAATCACTGCATAGTTAATATTTCATAACTCATTTCTGATTATTTAGCACTGATTGTTCGTCCTTTCTAAAAAATATAAGTAAAATTAATAAAAATTATTGTATAAGCTACCACAATTATAATTTCATCAACAAAAATCAAAAAGTGGACATAATTTTGAATAAAAAGAATAAATTGCCAATTTTTGTGATGGAATTATGATTCTGCGTGACTTTTATCTTTTTAATTACTTAACCTTTCTAAAAATTGAATGATTAAAGAATCTATCAGCTCAAGATTATTTCATAGAGATAAATTGATGTGTAATAAAGATATTATAATGTTTTGAAAACTAATTTGATTAATTAAATTGAACTCAACAAAGAAAAGTTATAACTCTGCCACCTTGTGTTTATTGTATGGCACAAACGTTTACATCAGTAGCCATTAGTGTCCTCTATGAGCACATCCATTTTGAAATCTGTTTTACCATAAGGAGAGGGCAGCACCTACCGCATAGAGTATCAGTTGAGCACATGCGCGTGTGAGATGTCAAAATAGAAAGAATTTGACAAAAAATTAAAAAGTATCAAACTGATTAGTTATTAAGTATGCTTACTGTCAATAATTTATTTTTTTTACAAATATAACAGTGTATTTATAAAATTTATTATCATGGCATTTTTAGAGGTACATCAAGTTTTTTCATTACTTTTGCTATAAATTAATTTAATACTTTATAAATTAACCTCAACTTGACAGCTATAATATTACTTGATTATTAATAATTTTTAAACAGACAATTTACTTTTTCATTGAATACATTTGAAAGTATAATTTTTTTTTATTTCTTATCTATTTTGGTGTTTCAAATAAATCATAAAAAATAGGGAACAAATTATATCAATATGATCAATAACAATTTTTACATTTTCAGTGGCGTCGATTTAATTTTTTCGATTTAAGAAAAGAAATTGATGGAGGAAAAATAGCTGAAGCTCTTGTGGTAAATTACCTTATAGTTAAACATTAAATTTTATTAAATTATGAAAGTTTTTCATGTATCTATCTTTGTTTACTAGGATGTCCAAGTAACGGCAGCTACTAGTGGCAATGGATCTTTAATTTTGGGTGACAATGCAGGAAATATACATGTTGTTAAGAGAACATATCAAGTATCAACATTCAAAGGTTATGAAATAAGTGTAACCCTTGCCGAGCAAGTTCAACATTCAACGTATCTTTTTACTATTGGTGAAGATGATCCAGGATGTAATCCAACTATCAAAGTCTGGAACTTTGCAAAACTTGATAAACAAGAAAATCCAACATGTGTTCGGATAAGTCGTGCAATTCCAAGCTTTCGAGCAGTTCCTGCAACTTGTTTATGCATTCATCCAAGTCTTACTTTAATGGCTGTCGGATTTTCTGATGGATCCATTATGCTTTATCGTGGTGATATTACGAGAGATCGAAAGAATAAAATAAGAGTAATTAAAGATAGTACTCCACCTATCACAGGAATGGCTTTCAGATCTACCGGAAAACAAAATTATTTATTCGTCGCAACAACTCTAAATGTATATCTGTATAATATCACATTGAAAGATAAAGAAGTGAAAACAGTTCTAGACAATATCGGTTGTGCTAGTCGGTGTTCAGTTTTAGCAGAGACTGCTCAAGACAGTCATTTTATGATTGGTAGAAATGACGCTGTTTATTGTTACACGCTCGATGGTCGTGGCCCTTGCTATGCTGTAGAAGGTCAAAAAATAATGCTAGATTGGTGTCGGGGTTATTTAGTAATAATCGCTAAAGAATCTGGAAATGTTTCTAGATCGACTACGACAATTAGTGCTAAACCAAGTACGATTGAACCTATTCCACCAGGAGCAGATAAACACACTATTACAGTTCTTGATATACAGAACAAATTTATTGTTTTCTCTGCTTCTATGATATCAATTCAAGCAATTTTATCGGAATGGGGCGGATTTTTTATTTTTAGTGGTGATAATAAACTTTATCATCTTGATGAAAAGGATCTTCAGCAAAAGTTAGCTCTTTTATTTAGAAAAAATCTTTACGATGTCGCGATAAGAATTGCTAAAAGTCAGCAGTATGATTCTGAAGGTTTCGTAGACATTTTCAGGAGAAACGGAGATCATTTATATTCGAAGGGTGATTACAATGGAGCAATTGAGCAATATATAAGGACAATAGGAAAATTAGAGCCTTCATACGTAATTAGAAAATTTTTAGATTCGCAGCACATCGACAATTTGACAACTTATCTTCAAGCTCTTCATAAACGAGGCCAAGCAACTGAGGATCATACAACTTTATTGCTAAATTGCTATACTAAACTCAATCATACGGATAAATTGAAGGAATTTATTATGACTAAAGATCGAGAAGTTGATTTTGATGTAGAAATTGCTATAAAAGTCTGCCGCCAAGCTTCTCCTGAAGATGCTTTATTACTTGCAAAAAAACATAAGAAGCATGAATGGTATTTAAGAATTCAACTTGAGGACAAGAAAGAATATAAAAAAGCGTTAGAGTATATGGAAAGTTTAAATTATGAAGAAGCCGAATCGAATATGAAAAAATATGGAAAAATTCTTATAGAAAACGTTCCTGATGAAGCAACACAATTTCTAAAAAAACTCTGCACAAATTATCGTTCAACTGATAGAACTTCAATTGATCAAAATGTTATAGATACTACGAATCTTGATGATAATGTTGAGAAAGCTAATCCTGAAGATTTTATTCATTTATTTCTCAATAACTCGGAAAGATTAGTAGAATTTTTGGAGCATTTAGTTAAATGCGATACAAGATGGAGTACTTTGGTGTACAATACTTTAGTAGAACATTACTTACATGTTTGGAATGCTTTAGATTCTAAAGTGACGAAACTTCAGTATGAACAAAAAGTTATTAGACTCCTACAAAATTCAGAAGCTTGTTATGATAAAGATCAAATTTTAATTCTTTGCCATCAACATAATTTCCGAAGAGGACTTTTATTCCTTTATGAAGAAAAAAAGCTTTACTATGAGATTCTACAGTATCATTTGAGAGAAGGTGATGATGAGTCTGTCTTATCTACATGCAAGCGATTTGGACATCAAGATCCTAATTTATGGATTCAAGCACTCTGGAGTGTTGCAAGAAATCGAAAAGCATCGCCAAAGCTTTTGGCTGATATTTTATCTTACATTTCTTCAGAAAAACTATTGTCACCATTAATGGTGATTGATGCACTCTCTACATCATTAACTTGTACCCTTGGTGATGTTCGATCATATTTAAACTCCGTTTTAAAGTCTGAGCATGAGCAAACATTACAGGATGCTGAATCAGTTAATAAATATCGTAAAGACACTGAAAAATTACGAGAACAAATATCAGAGATTAAAAATTCTACGATTATCTTTCAAGGATCACGTTGTAGTGCTTGTCATCATCAACTTGAGTTACCATCTATTCATTTCATGTGTCAACATTCTTATCATCAACATTGTTTTCAAAGTTTTTCAGAAAATGAGACTGAATGTCCTGCGTGTCTACCAAACAATAAAACATTATTGGATATAATTAAAGCTCAAGAACAATCTCGAGATCTTCATGAAACATTTCATAGTTTGCTTGATCGAGCTGAAGATCCATTTTCACTTGTTGCTGAATATTTTGGTCGAGGTGTATTTAAGAAACTTATGGTAATTACTGATGCTGACAAACCAATTCTTCCAGTTTCTGGGGCACTTAATCGAAATCCACCTCGAAAAAATCAAGAAATTAAACCAGATTATAATGCATTTGGACCAGGTGTTGAAGCAAAACTAAGATTAGCTGAAGGAAAAAGTAATTTAGTAAAAACAGAGAAAGTTGATCATTTTTCTGGAAATGAAAGAAGAAATATGGGGAAACCTGAAGTATATTCAACGACTCTGGAAGCAAATATAAGTTCAACAAGTGGAGTTTCTAATGTAGTGAAAGTTAATCCTTCAAAATCGTCACCTTTACCTATAAGAGATGCAAATATTGCGAATAACAGCTCAAGAATTTCACCAGCAAACAAAGCTTTTGTAACTCCAAAAACACCTATTATTCCAACGAATCCAGAGTCTGAGTATGATGAAAGAAAAAATCCTTTTGCTAAAGATCCCAATAATCCATTCGACGAAGATGATGATGATGAAGATGAAGATGATAATTATAATAAAAATTTAAATCCATTTGCTAGCTAAATTAAATTATTCATAAATGCTATTGCAATGAGGGATTAATTAAAATAGATGTACTGGAGAATCTAGTTATAGTTTTCATGCTGTATTCAATTTTTAACAGCTATAACTTGATTTTTCATTATATTTTAATCATTTTTTATATGTAAATAACACAAGCTAAAAATAAATAATATAAACTTTGTTCTTTTATGATTTTTCATAAAAAATAGTAAGAATTGTACAAAATATATAATGAAATATTTACACAACGTAATAAAGTATTAAAATACGTATTTGAATTGATTATTATAAATATGTATCTATAAATAAATTTTACAATTAATTATTCATGAGTTAAATCAATCAAAGTTATCTTGATCAAGCTTTGACTTCCAACTGAAAATTAAATCACTTATTCTAAAAGCATCCCATTTATCTTCAATTTCTGGTACTCGTGGTTTCACTTTAATAGCTTCTACATATTCTTCACCGTATTGAGGTGTAAAAAAATCAGACAATTTAGGTTGAAGATCTTTTGGTCTCGGTGGAGGATCCTTACTTCTTGTTATAACTTTTGGCAATTGTGATTCATTAACATTCAGATCGATTAAATTTTTAAATATTGGTTTATCTGAAGGAAAATTAAGTGTACTTGATACCTAAAAGCATTTTAATCATTTTGTTTATCAATAATATTCATTTTTCCTTCAAAAAATATATATTTTATCTGAATTCATGAGAATACCTTTTTCAAGACCTGGCTTTTATAAGGCGATGGTAAACTATCGAGTTCAATTACAATTTTTTCTCTTTTAACTTCTTCAAGCTTATTGATAGTTCGAATGGTAGTATTATATTCTGGACGACTTAATGGATTAACAGTAGTGCCAAAAGCCACTTTACTTTGTTTTTTCTTTAAATCTGATGCTGAAGAAAAACTCTTTGCTCGGGCTCTTACTGTTCCTGAATCTACTTGAACATTTAGTTTAGATCCAGTTATGTTTCTCATGGTCATCACTCTAGCTTGGCTTTTTGATCTCACTAATGCCGGTTTTTTTTTACTTTTAGGATCGACTTTTTCTGATTTTTCTCGTTGCATGGTTTATAAATCAAATTAATTATTAAAATTTTCACAAACAATAAAGAAAAGTATGAACAGTTATCTTTGTTTCATTTAATACAAATATACTTTCTGAAAAATCATTCCCAGAACGAATTTATATCAACACTGCTTTACACACCGGTTTGTTTATGTTTTGATCATGAGTGACTCTATTACTGGTCAAGAAAGGTAACTCGGTGGAAAAAATACTACAGCGCTGTAGTTCATGAACACATTAAATGATTTTCAAGAAGGTTATGATAGTAGTGATCAAAGCACGTTTCATTCTTGAATTTGTGGGTTGTCAACATATTTATTTCTCGTTCACTGAAACTTTGTAAAGCTTAGAACTATAAACATAACGAAAATAGTATTTTATTATGTTATAATTTTGTTAAATTATTTATACAAATATGGCTAATGTTGCTGAAATATTCAATTTATTTCAAGACTATTTAAATAATGAACAAGATATACGTGAGGTATTACGTTTTTTTTTATAAATATGATAATGTATGATATAATATTCATGAAAATTGTGCAAAAATTAAACATTATCTTATCGTAAGCTTGAATTTTTTAAGAATGGTTAAAAATATATTAATAATTGCTATTTTTGTTACATTACAAATTCACGTAATGTAAACAGGAAATTCGCACAGTTGTGAGAAAAATTGAAAAGTGTTCACGTGATATTGCCATTATCTTACAAAATATTCACAAAAAAGATGCTGTTGAGGAAAACATAAGTAAGTTTCCTTATATTAAATTGCATAACTGTAATATAATAAAATACATTTATTTGATAAATCATAAGTTATAATCATAAGCAAAATAATTCGTGATTCGCAGTTGTATCACAGTATTGTAATAATGCACGAGTGCATTTTGAAGATGTTCGTCAATATTATGGGGAATTAGCAAAAATCGTACCCCAAAATCAATATTACCGTTTCTACGATCAATGGCGTCATGTAACACAACGACTATGTTTTTTGGCATCTTTAATAATTTATTTAGAAGTGAAAGTTCTTGTTACTAAAGAAGTAGTAGCAGAATTTTTGAGTTGTAAGTTAATTATTTATAAACTTTAAAAGCCACGTTTTCATAATCTTCTTATCATGATTGTTTTTTCAGTAAAAAATAATCGTGAAGAAGGTTTTCATTTGGATATTGAAGATTATCTGATTGGTTTGCTTGAATTAGCATCAGAATTGGTTTGTTTAATTGAATTCTACTTTTTACTTTTAATTCGATTTCACATAATTTTGGTTGATCATTTATATTTTCAGACAAGATTTGCTGTAAATAGTGTCACTTCTGGTAATTATAATCGACCAATAGAAATATCACGTTTTGTGAATGATTTAAATTCTGGTTTTCGTTTATTAAATTTAAAAAATGATGGTTTAAGAAAACGCTATGATGTTCTTAAATATGACGTTAAAAAAATTGAAGAAGTTGTTTATGACTTGAGTATTCGTGGGCTGAAACCAGGAGTAGAAGAAGATCGTATGATAACAGAACCCACAACTGATTCACAACAAATTCAATAATTAATAAATAAAAGCTTATTTCGTTATTTTATACATATTGATGATTCATTCATCAATGAAGTATTTATTTTATTCAGTTAGCTTATATAAAATTCCATAAAAATACTTTTGATAAACGTTATTTTGTATACTGACCTATGTATTAATAATATTAATAAACTTGATCTTGTGGTAACTTAAAAAAGGCAGTAAGTTATTGTTAGTATCCTCGATTAAAGTCTACTGTATTTGGTAATGATTCGCCTTGAATGTATTTTCTATAATTATCTGCAAAAAGTTTAGCTATGGCTTGAGGTCTCACTGAACATGCATTGTGCGGTGTGATTGTTATCTACAAGAGAAATAAATGTTTATAAATATTTTATTTTTAATTAAGCAGATGAATCTTATCTACAAAGATATTACTTGAGGCATATCCCACAATTGGCTTGTTTGTGGTAAAGGCTCAACCGGGAAAACGTCTAAAACAGCCGCTGAAATCCATCCTCTTTCTAAGGCACGTATAATCGTATTTTCACAAATAATATTCCCTCGGCCAACATTAATAAGTACTGACTTTCTTTGTTGACAAAAACTCAAAACATCCCCATCTAAGAAGCCATCTGTCTGTGGTGTTGCAGGCAGTATACTTATGATGTAATCACAATTTGATAAAAATTCTGTTAATGAATCATTTGTTCTGTGATGATCAACAAATGATGCAGTTTCAGCAATGACAGTTGGATTATGTGTTCGAGTTAAACTCCAAACAGTCGCTCCAAATGTTTTCAATATTTTAGCAACTGATTTTCCGAGATTTCCAAGTCCCATTATGCCAATATTCAGATCACCAATCAATCGCCTACTATTAAACATACCATTTACAGTCCAGTGCTTTCTTTTTTGACTTTCGTACTCTTTCCATTGTTGTCTTTCGTGATTTACGATCTGTGTTACAATATATTCAGCCATGTCTAATCCATAAATATCATCAACAAAACGAGTGACAACGAGATTTTCAAATCTTCCATTGAAACGAAACAAAGGCAAAAGAGGCTCCACACCAGCTGATGTTGATTGAATCCATTTAATAGAATTTAATTGATTATAAACCTTTGGTAGTGCAGCACAATCTGCTATCATTATTTCAGCATTTTGAAGGTCGTTATAGCATTCTATTTTATCTGAAAGAGATACTTGATAAATAAAGCTGATTCATTTCAAGAGCAAGAATCGGAAAAAAACTCTTAGACACGCATGAGAGATAATAGATCGTAGTAACATTTAATCAGGAAATTAATTTGCAGAAAATAGTGGTTTTCAAAATTATGTATAATGAAAAGCAATCATGTACTTGAAGTAAATAGCTCATTAAAGAATTTTTGTAATACAATAAAATTCAATTGATTTAAATTAATTACCTGGTGGAATTTCAATTACTTCTATAACTTGAGGTAAAATTGATCGAACGTATTCCGCCAATTTTGGAGCAAGTGAAAAAACAATTACACGTTGCATTGTTGTTTATTTTATGTTCAATAAGTAATGATGAGTTTTAATTATTGCAATGTTTAGAAAAATTTTTGTACTTTTAATTAAAAATTTTAACAAAACTTTTGTGACGACTGTTGTCGTTAACCTAATGTAAAACGATTAAACGCTTGCATTACTAATTTATTTGCATTGACGTTATTTATATACCCACGTCTGATGCACAACCTACTGCAATAGTCAAATAGTGCATACAAAATGGCCTTTGTAATTAGAATGAATTAGAACGATATCATATTGTTGCAAATAACAACACAAATGTCACAATTAATTTTACGAATTTTTAATTACTTCATCAAGAGTAAAATAAATTTATCTGAATTTATTACCAGAATTGCTATTTTATTAATTGGTGATGATTAGTTTCTAATCTACTCATAAATTAAAATATTTAAAAAAATTTTAAAATTTCCCGGTAACAATAGAAATTAGTCACAATGACATCTAGAGCCTAGTAATTAACTTACTGCTGTTATGACACATGCTTGAATGCTCTTTGACAACAGATGTCTTTCTGGGATTATGATTGGTCAATTCTAACCTTGCGAATAAACAAATTCATCCAAATGAGTTAACAAACAAAAGCTTCATGTAGTTAGACGGAGTTAAAACAATTAAGGCGTTGAACTGTTATTGGTTTAAAACCACGTTACGTTTTGTAACTATTATGATAAAGATTATCATGACTTGTGATAATGTTTGCATTTTTGTCGTGATGTTTTTTAATTGATCATTTAAGTATTGATAAAATGTTGTTTTATACACTGTTAGGAGGATACGTCCTCACGTCTGTAATTTTATTTAAATATCCGTTACTTATTCATAAAAAAAAGAAAATAAAATTTGTTTGTAAACACATCAGCCACAGAGGAGGTAAGTAAATTAAAAATATTAACTTTGACATTTTATAATTAATTTAATAATAATTTTTATGAACATTAAAGGTGCTGGAGAGAGCTATGAGAATACTATGAATGCTTTTAAAAAGTAATTTTTTTTTTTTTAAATTTACTAATACAAGATACTTCATTGATTACATGATTTATATTTAAACGTTTTTCTTCTTTAGAGCCATGGCCATTGGTACACATATGTTAGAATTAGATTGTCATTTAACAAAAGATGGAGAAGTTGTCGTTTCCCATGACCAGAATTTGTTCAGATGTACTGGAATAAATAAAAATATCTGCCAATTAAATTATAATGAACTACCTTTGTTAAAGACATCAATACCAATTGATTTTGATCCTGGTACGTTATTTTTTATAATTACTACCTATTATGCATTTATTATTTAATATTGAAATCTAAGATTTTCATCAGTAGACGTGGAATATATTGGATCGGAAAATGATGATCGAAGAATTCCACTTCTTAAGGAAGTGTTTGAGGCATTTCCACAAGTACCAATCAATATAGATATAAAAGTCAATAATGATGAACTGATTAGGAAAGTATCAGAACTTATACAAAAATATAATCGTGAAGAGTATACCGTATGGGGTAATTTTAATGATGCAATCACGAAAAAATGTTATAATGTTGTAAGTAAATTTGAAAAATTTCTATTAAAATTGAATATTAAGTAATATAAATATTTATTTTTCAGAATCCAAATATAAATTTATTATTTTCTATGAAACGTGTGATTTATCTAGTTTTATTGATGTATACTGGTTTACTGCCTTTTGTACCTTTCAAAGAGACTCACTTGGAGATATTTTTACCTTCAATTTACCTCAAGTAAAATTAAATTAACTTCAATTAATCAATTTATACCATAATTTTTATTTTATCCATAATAGAAAAAATTTTCTTTGATTTTAGGAAAAGAAGAAATCCTTTGAAATCATTTTTACCATTTGAAACAATAGTGTGTCATATGATAAATATATTGTTAATGAGGCCATCATTATTCCAACACTTACAAAGAAGAGGAATTCATGTAATGTCACTATAAGTACAACTAACTAAATGTAGATTTTTGTAATTTATTGATAATAATTTTTAAAATTACTATTTAATATTATATTAGGTTTACTTTTGGGTTCTAAATCAAGAGGAAGAATTTAAACAAGCTTTTAAACTTGGAGCTAATGGTGTAATGACTGACTATCCAACAAGACTAAAAAAATTTTTGGAGAATAAAGAACGTGAAGAAAAGTACTCGCACACTTAAGGAAGCATTATTTTATTAGACAGTATTACAAAGAACTGCTTCAACCATTGATGTTACACCAAATAAAGTCTTTATACTGCACATTAAATATCAATAATCAATCATATTACCTGACTACTAATATATCATAAAACATATTTCATAAGAATCAGTACAAAATTGATTTACCATATAATTATTTACTGTTGTTAATTATATTTCTGTATAAATATTTATTTCTTATCGAATTTCATATATATATATACATACAAGAATGTAAAAATTCATAAACAAGTTTGTGTCATGTGTCAATTGTCATGATTAAAATAAATATTATAATAATATAAGTAATTTTCATTATGTATCATTTGTATAAGAGCATTGATGATATGGTACGATTTTTGGTTTATTAGATCCAACCGTGTAAGTATAATTGAACATTTTTCCATGGCAGTAAACGCATGTAGTTGTCGATGGATGATCTTTATTATAGTGTTTAGCTATGTCACTACCATTAGGTATTTCCTTGTTACAATCGAGACACATGATAGTTGTTTTAGCTTCCATTCTTGAACAAATTGCATCTGGAATAACTATCTCATGATTTGGAGACCTTCTATCATTTTGTTCTTGTTCTGACATTTTCCTTTTCGTAATTGGAACACCTGATGCAACTGAATTTTTGGCGGTAGATCAGAGTTAGACCTAACCTATCACAATTTTTTAGTTTTAATTTGCACTCCAATAAGGTTTTTACAATTACGTTATTTAATACTGTTTTATCCTTCTAATAAAATTCATCAGTCTTTGGAATATTTAGTTATATTATAACTATAATATAGAAACTAAATCCATGATAAATAGAAAAATTGACAACAGCTTGTACACTGGTACGTAATAAATAAGCTACCATGTACTACTACTGTTTACGGTGCTCAGCGATTCAGCTATAAAAAATACACAGCAGTGCCACTTCCTTCTTATCTGACTTCTCATGAGAAAGTATACAGGAAGAGAGAAAATTTTTCGAACAATGTTTTTATCTTTTTTTAATTGATATTATTTCAAAAAAATTGATTTACAGAGTTTTTTTCAATGAAAAGATTTTCAACAAATATTTCGTAGTTATTATAAATTTATTAGCATTTAAACTCATACATTCATCAAGTTACATACATGAAATTAGAAAGAAAAACATTTATATAGGTTTAATTTTAAAATGTAATCCAATAAGTGAAAAAACAAGACATTTAAGATCTTGAACGAGGTAGTAGAAACATCTCAAGCCTTCTGGATCACGAGATTGATTGACATCAAGAAGAGATCCAGTTTTAGAAGTAGTGAAGGAAATATGCTCATCCCCAATGACGATCTCCAATTCTTGCCTGCCTACTCTATCCGGCTGTGGCCACAGGGAATCGTCTTCTTGCATGATTTCTGAATCTTGAATAATCCTCTTTAATTCTTCCATTACACACTGATGTACGTAAGCTTCTTTTCGAATCATTGTATCATTTTTATAATTTGAATTATTAGCGTATCGTAATTTGCCATCAGGACGAAATTCAAACTCCAAAAACTCGTGGCCAAACTTTCCTTTATGACCAACATAGTACCTTATGTAGAAATCTGTCGACATGTTGGATTTATTATGATTTAATAATTTACAGTTTAGAAGCAAGCACTAATATTCAGTAACTGGAGTTTTTTTCACTTAATAATCAACAATTGACTCCTCTGATATTTGTTGACGCTTCTGCAAGTTATGGTGAAGTGTCATTGATAGAAAAAAATCATAGAGTGTAGACAACCATTCACTTGTTCACCGCTGCTAGCGCTTGCGGTCATTTTTGAAATTAGAAAATCAATTAATGTTTATCAAGTGTCGATATTTATAACTTTGCAAATAATGAAATGGAACGACACTCACACAATAACAAAAGCCGATAATGACATAAATCATTTATGTCACAAAAAATATTGAAGCTACCTAACTTACAAAGCTGTCAATGCATTCGGAACGATATGACACAAGTAGATAAAGCGCTGACAAGAATTTTATTTCATATGTGGGGGTACTTTTGAGTATATAAACGTGTGTGATGACGTGTGTAATTTTTGTTGTGTTTCTAATCATCACAGTACATGCATAACGTACAATTGTTTGTATTATTCATTACATTACACTTAATTAATTCTTCAACAGTTTTTTCAATAAATCGTATTAATGAGCAATAAACAAAGAAATGTTTTGTAATCTGCAATAAGCTCAATCATTGCAATTGTGAAAAATATTTGCTCAATAAAAAAAGTGGAAACCTTGATATATTACAAAAAATGGTAAATATTTAATTTTGTAATGCGAAGTCAATTTTGCATTGTATTTTTGATAAAAAAAAACATTTATGACAGTTATTATATTTTCGGCATAAAATATTGTTTAATTGAAAATATTAATGGTCTGTGTAATTGTTCCAGAATAATGCACTATGATCTCAAATAGCAGAGAAGTTAATTTATTCGAGTATTTTTCCAATCAATATTATACCAATGGATAAATGAAGCATAAAATAGATAAACCAAATATCTATCTACCTCATTATTTAGCAGGATTATACAATGGTTCAGCAAAGAATTCTTGGATTAAATGGTATATATATACTTATATTAAAAATTTCCAACTTGTTATACGTGTTTCGATGAGATATTGATAACATCGAAAATGATAAAACAGTTATTCACATGTTTATAATGATATATAATGTATTAATAGCTGTCTGTGGAGGCCGGCGATTTGTGTTGACACTTACAGCTGGAATGATTTTTGGATTTTTCTCGGCATGTCTTTTAATTACGGCTACCAAAGATGTAACGAATGTGCTAAACTGGGTGCCCGGTAGATCTAGTTTATCCAGAGATCCTCATCATTATTCAGACCTCACTTCCGAGGTAATTATTATGTCGTTTTATCCTATGAATTTTATTGAGTTAAAAAAATTCAATGATAATTATTATCATAAATGAACGAATAACAGATAGGACCGGAAACTGATGTAAAATTCCATGGAAATGATGAAGAATTCCACAAAGATGAAGATAAAATTGCTCAAGAAATGGCTAAAAAAGTTCGAGTTCTTTGTTGGATTATGACCAATCCTAGTAATCATCAGACAAAGGCTCGACATGTAAAAGCAACGTGGGGAAAACGTTGCAATGTTTTATTATTCATGAGTTCAGCAGAAGGTATAGAGTACTATCAGCATTTTTTATGTCCTCTTTAAACTTTTTTTTTATTCTCATACAATTCCAGACACAAGTCTACCAACGGTAATATTACCTGTAAAAGAAGGACGCGAAAATTTATGGGCAAAAACCAAAGAGGCTTTTAAATACGCTTATGAAAAACATAAAGATGGCGTTGATTGGTTTATGAAAGCCGATGATGACACGTATGTAGTTTTTAATAATAATTGAGAAATTAAAATATATGTCATAAATATAATTTAAAAATGATTTATATATTTTATCTAGGTATGTGATAGTAGAAAATTTAAGATATATGTTATCACCATATGACCCGTCATCAGCGCTCTACTTTGGCTGTCGGTTTAAACCTTTCGTCAAACAAGGCTACATGAGTGGTGGAGCAGGTTACGTACTTAGTAAAGAAAGTGTTCGTAAGTTTATTGAAGAAGCTTTACCAGACAAGAACAAATGTCGTCCAGATAGTGGTGGTGCTGAAGACGTAGAAATGGGGAAATGTCTTGAAAAAGTTGGAGTCAAAGCAATGGATTCACGTGATCCTCTTGGGAGAGGCAGGTTCTTTCCTTTTGTCCCGGAGCATCATCTCATTCCAAACCATGTTGACAAAAGTTTCTGGTATTGGAAATACATTTATTACGAAACAAAAGATGGCCTAGATTGTTGTTCAGATAGTGCTGTTTCTTTTCATTATGTCTCACCAAACATGATGTATGTCTTGGAATATTTAATATACCATTTACGTCCATATGGTATTACACATAAAGTAGAATATGACATGCCATCAACAATAAAATCATCTAATGATACGGAATACTAGTCGCATGAATTGACGAATGAATGAAGAACGATTTTTATCGATCATGTAAATTATTTAAAGTTTTAAACAGATAAACTTTAATGCTAGTCAGCTGTGAATAAATATAATTACTATTAAACGTAGCCATAACGATATCAATGATGATTTTGAAATTTTTTCAAAAATATTTGTCTTTCAATATTAATTTTAACGAGTATATTACGAAAAGAACGTGTTTTTGTGGTGAAAAAAAAACATTGATATAAACATAAATAAAGAATTTTTAAAATTTTAAATTATAAAATAAAAAAACAAGACGAGCATTTCATTAAAAAAATATCTCGATACGAATCCGTATACAAATTTTGCACGTATTCCCAATAGAATAATTAAAAAGAACAACACTTTTACAATGCAGAATAATATATATAATATGTATATATATACACGAAACTGTTTTTAATTAATAATATTCATAATAATAGTTATATAATAATCCCAATAATAATATACTACCCAAGTAATAAATACTATAGATACAAAGTGAGTGAGGGCGTTTTGGTGAATAAATAAACCAACTGTTAGGAATCAGGGTATTTCTATGTACAAGTAATATTTGTACTATGCAACTGACGCAGTTTTACCATCGTAGCCCTCGCGCTAAACATGCTCCAGTTTTAATCTCTCAATAATAATTTCATGCATCCTCTAAATGTTTCATCATATTTTTTTATGGAATCAAAAGTGCGGAGGAAAAAGTTTGTCTCTCTTTTTTCTAATCTTTTTTCTATTCATCACCACATTGTTTCACTTATACATATAATTGTCTAAAATTCCGAATGTTTTTGACGATAAATTATTTAAAAATAATTAATATTTTACAGAATAATTATTATATATAATAATATAATAAAGGTCATCTATTATGAATAAAACATCAGTTGTTTTTTATTTTATTTACTCTTTTTTCATCCAAAAATTTAGTGTAGTTTAGTCAACATGACTAGGCCCCTTCCAGGTTTTAAGAAATTTTTTATAACAAAAGACCTAGATGGTCTGATTCCTCTAATTATTATATAATTAATTAATGTCTAATTTTATTTAATATTTTTTTTGTTTATTTATTGTAGTTTTGATCCATTTTTGAAGTTCATATGGAATGAAGGTATTTTCCATAGTGAAAAATAAAAACAAAAATAGAAGAAAAAGAAAACATCAGAGAGACTTGATGGGAGTGTGATATAAGAGTGTTGTTAAGTCCTATTATATTATCATAATAGTATCGTACGTTCTGTTGTTCATAATCGATTTTTTAAAATTATTTATCTATACAAAATTAAAAAATAACGTAATATTCGTTATATTACTTTGTCGCTAATAATAATTAAAAGCTTTGTACAAAAAGTCAATTTACAATTAAAAACACTTGAATTATATAATCCTATTATACCTTTACTAGATATTTTCTTTTTTTCTTGAAATTGAACTATCTAAATCAACGATGAGACAACAATTTTAGCAAATTATTCGTACTCTTTCCTCCTTCTCTTTTCTCTCCCTCCCCTCTCCTCTCTTGGTTTATTTTCACTCGACATCTGTCATACGACCCTCTCCTCTCCTCTTATTGCAACAGAAATATAATATAGTGTACAAACATGATTCGGGAAATAATTATTGATCGATATATAATTGGATTTGGTCGTCTTTTCAATGATTTCATAGAGAATCAATTAAAAAATTGCGAGTGAATATGTGTAACTGTTGACATTGAAAAATGAGGTAGGGCGTATGAAAGTAATTGTGCCCGTAAAGCCCCGAGTGTTGTTATCACGATAATAAGTGCGTAAGAGAGGTGTGCACAAAGCACCACAAGGGGAGTGGGTCTGGGTCAGACGAGGGCAGCCGATGCGTGATAAAGCTGCATGAGCGCTTGAACATGTACCGGTAAGCAAGACAGTCGATCCTTGGTATTTGAGTCTACGGCAAGCCAAGATAGGGCATTATATCCTTCCAGCACGTACCTGTAAACGGAATTTAAAACATTGTTAAAGAAAATACATATTTATAGAGACTTTATTTTCAATAAAAAAGAAACTCAAAGACAAACCTGAGTACATCTGTGGTGTATTGAGAATCGAGTGGATGAGCTGTAAGTGCGCTCTGTTGTTGGAGTAAATCATCACTATTTTGCTGAATAGTTGAACTATGAAGATGCAGAGCATTTTTCAAGAATGCAGGGCAAACACCTTCAAGATGCGGACATGCCGACCAAAACCACGATGGCATACGTCCTGTAGGTGCTGTAGATACTAAATATCCAAGAGCAAGTGGTTGTTGAAGAAGAGTACCGACTTCCTCTGTTTGATCGGCAATCGCAGTCTGTAAAGAGATGTTAATTATAAGCTATAGGCAAGATAATTATTTTAATTACGGATATTTCAATAATTTATGATAAACATACTCTTGGAGTGCTGCTGCAAGGAAATGGACTTCCAGGTCCGTCATGATTACCCATCCCAGATCCTCCACCATCACCGCCTAAAGGTGAACCTTCAGGCCGATGAGGACTACCACTAGGACTTTGACCACCGCCAGCTCCAGATTCAGGCCACACGTTAAAAATATCGTTAAAGTCACCCATTCCTTCCATTCCTTCAGGCATATCATCATTGAGTGCCGAAAAAAGCTCATCATCACCTAATTCAGGACCGTTAATATGTTGCTCTTGGAACGCTGTTTGTGATGACTGATAAAACAATATTTATAATTTTTAATAAATTATGAATTGCATCAGAACTTTATTTATTTTGGCAAACAAATATTACTTGTGTTGTAGCTGATGTAGGAAAGACAAGAATGTGTGTACAGGTGACATCCTGAGGCGTTGACAACTGACAATTGACGGAAGTCTGGCTGAATCTCACATCTGGTGTAAATTGATCAGCCATTAAACGAAGAGTTGAATCAGGTTCAAGTGATACTAAACAAGCGCTAAGCACGCATGGCGCAGCAGATGGATATAGAAGACTACATTGGCCACAAATTTCTTTTAAATGGTTTGATGCCTTGGATAAAGCCTTTCTTGAAAGAAGCCAACTCCAACCTTTCAATTCTCCATGTCCTATTCTTCCAACTCGACCAACCACTAATCTCCATGGCTGAACCTGTTATTAATTTTTTTATAATTAAAAATAAAAGCTAAACATGAAAGTAAAACAGTAATGATAAAAAAATTCAAGCTTTATAACACATGGAAATAACAGAGAAAATATAAATAAATACATCAAAATAAAATAAAACTTACGCCTTGCGACATAACACCAAGAATAAAATCCATAAGTTTTTGAAGTCCAACACGTCGGGCAGATGCACGTTTTCTTCTTTTACGATTTGGCACGTCAATGTTGATTGTAGCAGTTTCAAATATTTCACCACGATCATCCGTAGCTACTGCCAGAAGTCGTGATTGATCATCACTGAGACAATAACTGAGATAAAGCACCGCACATTCTTCAGGACCAGCAATGCCAAAGGACTCCGGGGCTTCGCTCTTGGCTCGTAGAGGTGCAAGCACATACGCCGGTGTGTATAGACGATAAGGAGCTCTATTTCTTTCCTGTAGGTCATCCGGAAACTTAAGGTCACGGTAATACCGTGAATCTCATGCGAAAATTCACATATTTTTCTAATTTAATTCTAATCTAATATAAAAACTTACATCTTTATTTTTGAGGAAGATATCTGCGGCTGCAGCTGTTCCAAAACCTGTGAGACTTTTTACTGTTGAATTATGATTTAATAATCTTCGACCTTGGAGGAATACGTTTAGAGCTAAAGAACGCATTTCGTCTTGGAATTTTCGTCGTTCCCGCGCTCGTCCTAGTTCTAATATACTTTCCAAAGATATTAACTATAAAAAATAAAATTAATAGTTATTTATATAGTTTCTAATATTTTATTTTCTATTATTTAAATGTTTGATTAATTGTAATATAAATACCTGAACATTAATGTTTGATCTTATATTTTCAGGTATAGCATTAAGAGCTGATGAATATGCTCTTAAAAGTGCTAGAATCGCTAATCGACGACGATCTGGATTTTCAGCACCTCCTAAAGTAAATGGTTCGACGATATAAACAACAACTGAGGGAGGTTCAACTTCTTCTTCATCCGGACCAATAGTTGTTGATGAGGTCGTTGTAGTCGCTGTCGTTGACGTTGTTGTCATTGTTGTTGATGACGACGTCGTTGAAGATGTACTAACTGATAACCCTGACATTGATGTTGCCGAAGTTCCTGTAGACATTGATATGGCTGTCGTTGTTGTATTCATCATTGTCGACATTGTTGATGTTGTCATCATTGTTGATGATGTTGTCGTATTCGTATTCGAAGTATTTGATGGAGAAGTTGGAATAATTGCAGGTGTAACGTTACCCATTGTGGAATTGGCATTCGGTGTTGTATTGGATGATGGTGTTTCACTAGGAGCTGTTTCACTATCACCAACAGGTTCAGTTTTAACAACAGTACCATCAGGAGTTGCTGGCATTGATTCGGGTGGTGGTACAGACGGTGATTGTTGCGGTTGAGATTGTTGTTGATGATGATGTAATTGTTTAGAGTTGGATGAATCTGCAGGATCCAAAAAGCTACGATCTTGAATAACTTGAGTTAAATATGGTGCTAATCGATTACAACAAACTTGCGCGTAAAGTCTTAATTGCTCGCCAATTTGCGTTTCACCCAGAAGTTTAAACCAGTCGTCAATTGGCTGTTTTGACCATTTTTGGCAAGCGGATTTTCCAACCCGCATAATTCCATCACGACACGTCTTTGTAATAGGTGTATGTTTACCTAACTGACAAATTTCATATGTCGTTGATAATTCTCGAAAGAAGTATTTCACTCGATTTACCACTACATCATTATCCGGAGCAAGAATTACATATGCAACATCTCTCGGACCAGCATAAGGTTCCAACAGGAGTTTTTCCCAATAACTAATAGCGTACGGAGATAATGAAAGCCAATCTCGATCATATCCAACAACCAATGCTGGTATCGGTTGTGGCTCACATCGATCATCAGTTCCTCTCCCTGCAAGACGATGAAATTGTCTCCAAGTAAGTGGACCGGATACTGTATAAGGTGCTTCCCACATTCTGTTGGTGCATTTTTTCTGCATAAATCCTAGAACAGCTTCTTGAAGAAGTGGTTGAAGTGTTTCCATCATTCGAAGTATATCCCCACTACATTGTGGACCACGAGCTTTAATAAAAGCCCAACGATGAACGCCTACAATTTTATTCGTTCTTTCTATTGGATTATTATCTATAAGCTTTCCTTGATCTAACGCAGCAAGAGATACTTCATTACCATCATTAAATTCTAATGTATTTAAAGTTGGTGTTGAATTGGCATGACTTCTATTTATTGCATATATTCTTGCTGCCCTATATAAACTACTTGCAGAACTCTGAATGATTGCACACTGTTCACGTAAAAGCTCCAAAACATTTGGTGTAATAACATCAAGACCTTCTAAAGCTGTTTTAGAATCTGGTGAGACAACTGCACCGAGCGAACCTTTCTTCTTTTCCGATGGATCTTCCGCAATACCCGTTATTTCCATTTCATCTTCGTAAAATAATCCTGCTTGATGAGCCAATCGACGATTGACTACTGCACTAAATCCACAATTGCACCTTATTTGATCATCATCTTGAAAGAGAGCACTACCACTTGTCCAAGAAGCTGCAAGATAAACTCCAGCATCTGCACCTTTAATATTACCTACGACTTTCGGGCCAGCGTTACAAACACACAGACTGCAACTATCGAAATTATGATCACGAAAGATATTAAGGGCAGTGTCACCAAGAAGAATATTAACTATTAACGAATTTGATTCAGGTGCACGCGTTGGACCCGGGGTATCACCATCGATACTATTGATATTTTTGTTTAGGTAAGACGAAGTTGTAGATGTTGCTGGACTTGGTTGGTCATACGGTGGAGGAGGAGGTCTACCAGATCTATAAATATTACCCACTGTTGTGGCAGGACTTGAAGGACACAATTGTTGATGAGATATCGTTGATATTGGTGGTTGTGGAGGTTGTTCTTGAGGCGGTTGATGTGATGAGTCTTGTTGCTGATCTTGCGGAGTATTACTGGATTTTAAATTCGGTCCAGTTGATGAAGAATGAATAGATGTTTTTTCTGAACTGTTAGAAGATGTATTATTGCACTGCCAAGCAGGTCTATATACGCAGTGTGATGGCAGTGTAACGGGTGGCAGAGATTGGCTAGGTAAATTGGTTAAAGGAGCATATCTTGATGATCCAACAAGTTTACAAATTGTAGGAGGTTTAAAAACATATGACCAATCGTCAATAGGTTCTTCTAAAGGTGATCCCATATTAGGATAAATATCAGGAACATGACGAAGAGATCGTTGAGGTGCATTAAGTTCAGTTTGGTCGATTGGAGCATCACTCAACTGACAAGGAGAAGCAACCGGATTATGCTCTAACGATGGTGGCGTTGGAAACATTTTCGAGAGCTCTTCAGGACGAAGAACTCCTACTCCACGATTATTTTGTTTAGTTAAACCATCGAGGCGAGTGTCCTCGTGCAGTCCTCCAGATTTATTGGAACCAGGTGGTGTTTGAACTTGTAATTGATTGAGATTTGTTTCGTCACTAGACGTATCGTCGGAATTTTCAAATATTTGATCGAGATCTTTGTAGGATGGTTGAAGACCTTCATTAGTAAATAAAGAACCAGGTTTTGTAGGATCATCTCTCGGCCGTCTTAAACCATCTGCACCCGTACAATTTTCCGTCCCATTCTCCTCTTCTCCAGTCACGTCAAACTCATAAGGATCATTTCTATTTCCCTCTCCCTCGCCCGTTCTACCTGTTCCTTCTTCATCACCTTCCCTTTCACCTTCTCGTCTTTCTAGTCCTCCCACACATTCATCCTAAAATTAGAAAAGAATATTTTTATTATTTGTTATTTATTCCTTAGTAATTTTATTAATTTTTATTTTTTAAACTTTTCTAATATTTACCATTGTTACGCCAGGTTCTTGTTTTATTTCCATTTTAGTAACTTGTGATTGATTTGAAGATGAATTAACCATCGCATATAAATTATTTCCACGTTGATTTATAGGTCCAACAGTTGGCGATGGTTTAAATCTCTTAACAGGATGATTTAGCCAGGCTTCTTGAGTTGAATAATCATAGAGCCAAGAAAGAGGATGCTCATCTTCTAAAAGCGCACCTTCGTATTCTCTCGATGAAAGTACAGGCCGCTTTAATGCTGGTCCACTATTCGTATTTGTTATTTGATTATTATTGCAGCACATTGATGATGTCGTTTTGGGTCCATGGATTGAATTAACAGATGGGGCAGTAGTTGAATGATTTGGTGGTGGTTGAGGACTTAACGTAGGCATTGTTAAATCCACTGACGGCGGCACGGAAGCTGGTTCTGAATGAGGAGTTGGAAGTGGTGATGGTGCTGGAGAGCTTGGTGAACCAACGGATGGTACCGGAGGACAATCCCCGCCAGTTGGAGGTCCTCGAGAATAAGAAGGTGGTCCATCAGGTGGTGTACTTGGTGCTTCAGTACTTCTATTTAATACCGACCTAAATGAATCATTAAAAACAATATATCAATATCGTCAAATTAAAATAAACAATGAAAAATAATAAGTTAAATAAACAAATTGACAATGAAGATGATGGTGATGATAGTTAAGCGATGAAATAATTATTGATAATATTAAAATGTGCGTATATATTCCTGCATTAAATTGCTCATTATAATTGGATTAATAAATTACTGATTAAAGTTAATTATATAACCCTGAATTACTAGCATAAAGAAACAGTCGCACTACCACCTGAAAAACATTAAGTTAGAATATAATCATGCACGTAACGATTCTCGTTATCTTTCGTCACATTCTGAAAGTTAACTCAAAAATTACCCTACATATGCATGCAACTAAAATATTATACTTACTGAAAACTGATAATCACAAAAGTATTTATATTTAATCATACGTGATATAATAATATAAGTTAGGCCGATACTTACGAGGATCGTTACGAATTATTGAGTTGAAAAATGTTATTGAAAAATTAATTATTAATCTTGAAGCAATAATATGAAATGCTTATGTAAAATCAATTTGATTTTAATTTTAGTAACAATTTAATTGCAACATTATTGTGTAAATTGTGCCGATGATTGTCGATCAATGAACATGAGCGATGGATTTGTTGACTTTTTTGAATTTTTAATTGATTTCTTTGATAAATCTCGGGGGTAAATACCCACCTGGGGGCATTAGTAAGAACAGAGGGACTAGAAGCATCCCATTGAATGGTAGAGCGTCGATGGAAAGGTACGACGGCCCTCCGTCCACCTTTATCAACTCTCTCCCTTTGAATCTGAGAGGAGGCCAGACTCTTCCAACCCCCGGGGGTTGTACACCTGTAACCGATGCGTTTTCAACGTCTCGTAATTTTTTCTTTTTTATCTCATCGACTCTCATTCACGTATTAATTATTAATCAATTCATATCGGATTCACAAAGCAGACATTTTACTTGAAATGTAAAATTTTATTTCAGATTTTTCATTTTTGACTTTTTTTCTCGATTTAATCTTTAAAACATCATATAAATATATATTGTGTTTGCTTCAAGAATCCGTTAAAATCATAATTCTAACTATACTAAAAAAGTTTAAATTAACTGTAAACAATGAAGACCTAAGATAAAAGATTTCGTAATATTGATCTGATTTATCATCGAGATATGGATTTACATGCAATACTTTGTGACGTCTCTTTATACTATTTATTGAACATGATGATAATTCTATGATACTGAGACTGAGTCTCACATGCAATATCAAAAATAAAGACAAAAACGTCACTCAATGTATACTGCTACTTGTTTAAAACCATTTTTCGATGCAAAACAATATAACGTAGTGTATAATAGTAGTACTCCCTCCACTGATACACAGACATCACATCAGGTACCTCTTGAATTCTGTTGTATTGACTCAAGTGTGTAGATTCAATTGAATTAAAATTATTTAACATTATGGCACATTTACAATCATGCTTCTCGATTTAACTGGTGCAACATTGATCGCATAGCATAGCAAATAAATTAGCTTCAGAGTTAACTAAAGATATCGACTTCTAATGCTTTTATACAAAAAAAAAGTATGATTGTAACTTGTTATATTTAAATAGAAAAATTGAATAACAATATAGTATTTAATGCACAGTAGTAATATAAATCAAGTGATTATTACTTACTTAGAACACGTGCAGGAAGACTTTTGAGTTGCATCAATAAACGTCCAGGTACCAAGCTCTACGGAAGATTCAGTTGTTGTTTTGGAAGTTGATAAAGATGTTGTTCCCAATGTACATTCAGCCCAAACACGTTCTGGTAATTCTGTTGAAGGCTTAAAATCTCGCTGAGTTGAATTTAAATAATCATAATTAGCTGCCGCTGCAGGACTATACGGAGGTGAAAGTGGTAATTCTACAGGCATTTCGTCCATATCCGTAACAAGAACATAGCACGAAGGATATCTCATCCTTACACCACCAACAAGCACCTCCACAAGTGGTGGAAGACCAGCTTCAACATTATTATTGTTTATTGGATAAAAATGTCGCCATTCATCTAAAAATTGAGAGTCTACTCGGCTAACTTGACCCGTTAGGGTACCAGCTAGACCATAAGGAGCAAGTATAACTGAAAGATAAAGAAGAATTTATACAATAGATAAACATCAGGATAAAAAATTTAAAAAACATTAAATTCTCGTCGAAGTTTTTTACCTTTAACTCCATTTTGGGTTGCTTGAGTACGTTGAAGACACGTCCTCGTAAGATATCGTACAGCCGGATGTTGCCTGACGTCTACACTTGCACAAACAGTACTCTCGCCGTGTACAAAAAATGCAAAAGAGAAGGATAGATGACTGCTATAAAAATTGTATAGAAATTAGCATTCAACTATTCTTAAAACATTTTTTACCCACAATTTAACTAAGATTGCATGTGATATCCAATTTTACCTGTTACAGCGATGCTTTTCGAAACCGTCGTAAGGTTGAACGAACCATTTTCCAAGGCGAACGAAGTCACGAGATAGTAAACAACGCTCGATGAGATTGTGGAGAGCCTTGAAGAGTAATGAACGACATTCATATGACAGGCCGCTTTCCCAAGATCCTTGCTCACTCTCTGTAAAGTCAAATAAAAAAAATTATAAATAAATATCACTGAATTGAAGAAAAAAGAACTTCATAAGAGTTGAAAAATACAATTATTATTTGCTAGAGTACACTCCATCCGGTTGTATTTAGACACGTGGCTTTCAACGGCTATGAAAACGATCGATAAGTCAACGAGCTGTTTAAAGAGGATACCGGGGAGGTATTTAGATAGGGTGATTGAACGTTACTTACCACCCCTGATTAGCTCTGGTGAAACAAGTTCCTTTAAATCGGGTTCTTCACCATACCAAAAGATCCAAAGTTCTTTAGCGGCTGTAAGTGACAGAGGTGGTGGTGCAGGAGATGGTGCTATTCCCAGGTCGAAGATGCCACCTGCACCAGTACCAGTACTTCCCATAGTCGGTGTGGCCGCCACCCGTCGCCACACACAGAGTATGTCGCCTGCTAGACACTTTGAGAAGCTCGTCAAGACTGGATCATCAAGGGGGGTACCCCCGAATCCCTCGTGCACTTCGCCCCACACGAGTTTTCGCCATTTTATTCCACATAGGTCTGTCTGTAATTTCAATTTAATCCAATTTTAGAATATTCATCTTGTTTTATGCCTTTATGAATAAATAAAATGATTTTAAAAATAGAAAATAATAGAATAAGTGAAGGAAATGACTAAAAATGGCTCAACAAGACAACGTGATGACGGCACCTGTTACATTGCACCCTAACGTACGCTTTTTTCATCCGTGACCTCCAAGGAGACAGCTCACTTACTAGCTCTCTCACTCACTTATTTACTCACTCATTCTTGCTCTTGCAACTTTGCTTTTTAGCTTTACCAGCGACATATCTTTCAAATTCTCACGTGCATTCACATTCTTCGCCTACTTGAGAGATTTTGTTATATGACTCACTCAACTGTGACACCAAATCCAACGCATATTGTACCACCCTTACGATTATGATTACAAAAATCTAGTATCTCTTACAAAAACATTCGCATATTTTATTCAGATGATGATAGATGGATAGAAATAAAATTTAATTGTCAATTGATGAATCCAAATCTAACCAAGAATATCATTTTATCTTTGAAGAAAAAAAGAAAAAATGAAGAAAGAGGGAAAAAGAAGGTTATGCTGTATGACGATTTGTCAAGCTTCACGTTGATCAATACAGGAGTAAGAGAAGGTGCAAAACTGCCCGCGTGACTATAGTCTACACATTTTTTTCTTGTTTTTTTTTTTATCTACAATGCTGGCAGTCTAAACAAAACAAGAGAGTGGAAAGCGAAGCAATTAATACTACAAAAAGTTCAACTTATTTTGATAAACAATAAATAAACTTTATTTTTGATAGTTTTAGGATAATAATTACTCATTTTTTACTTCTCTAAAATTATCATATTTTTATTTCCTTTGAATAAAAATAATAATTATGATAATATTCATAAGAAATTAATGTATAATTTATGAATCTTTGTTTAAATTTATATAAAAAATAAACATGGGAAATGGAAGAAAATCATAAAGGCTTTACCATCACAGTATAGGTACTTTTCAACGTTCCATCTCCCCAGAAGGCTAGGCTTTCACCTAGCGGTTTGCTCCATTTTCCTCAACACCAGGTGCTGATCAATAAAAACTATTCAATGCTTTAAATTTAACTAGTTATTCTGGCTTTTTTTTGTTCAAATGAAGATTTAAATAATCAATATTTTTTAATTGGTCAATATAATGAGTAAATAATTAAATTTAAAGGAAAAAAACACAAGTTTTTACTAAATTATAATTTAAATGAAATACTAAGTCATTAGTAATATATTTTTTACGATAACATTATCATTTAAGATCAGAATAATGAAAAAAAATAATAAATGTTCATTCAAACATAATGGGAATGTATATTAACGAATTGTAATGAGTGTCAAACTTGCCAGAAGCTTAAGTGATGACGTATCATCAACTAAGGAGGTTAGATCGCGCCAAGTAAACGAAATACGTAAACAAATAAAGTGTCTAATCAGATTGACTAAAAATAATTATCAATTAATGAAAAAAAAAAACCATTAACATGATACATTTAAAAAATGGAGTTTAAAAAAATGAAATTTGATATGATTAATGAAGTTAAAGTTGTGTAGATAATGACGAAAAAGAGTTTCTAGCAATTTCTGTGAGAAACATGTAAAAGTATAACTTGAAGAGCTAGACCGGTAAGAACAAAACAATGAGAAACTAGCAGTAGTCTATCAGCAGGCGAAAGTAATATTACGAGTAGCGGACAACGGTGCAGCGACGTCCGCTATTCGCCTTCTGTGGGAGGAGTAGAAGAACGAAATTGTCTTATTTCTTCATTGCTTGATGATTTAACATCACAACAATAGAACATTTATAATGATATTATAGCCAGTAAGAGAAAATAAACAACAGATAAATAGTGATGCGATGTTAAATAACTTGAAAATAATTGTTACAGAAACAATCAGAATGAAATAAGATGGATTAAAAATGAACATCAATCTGATTGTATGCTTTGAAGCTTGATGGTCATCTGAAAATTCTTTGTAGAGACGTAAATTCTATGCCTTTACATGTAGAAACTCTATTGGAAGCGCATACTCGATACACAAACAATCGCCGCCACCGTTACTGTTTCTCTTTCGCTCTACTACACATACCCACGTACTTATACATACATAGCTATCTGTATATGAATATCTGTACACATCTCTAGAGAATCTTTTGCCTGCAAGTGTTTTCCATCTTCTTCTTTTACTCTTGTATACTTCATCTTGTCTTTTTTTTTATACTTAGAGAGCACAGCTAAGTAAAAGAGTAAGAGAGAGCTAAACCAATCACTCGAATCCTAACGTAAAAATCATGTCGGGTCCAGGATGCCGAGAAGCAACGCCTCAAAGCAACTTTAGAAACAAGACGTCGGTAGCAGCCATTCATGAGAGGATGAGAGAATCAGTGATGGTTCCAATACAATGATAAAGATAACGATGTGAGAAAGGTCAGGGTATGATTTTATGTGAAACAAACTGGCGACGTAGGGGTTTATGGTCGTACTCGCGTACTCACCAGTGCGAAGAAATTCGTGTGGCAATCCTCCAAGCTGGCTCCGTTAGTCTGATGCGACGGGTGCGTCATGGCTTCTCCATCGTATACAACGTTTTATCACTTGTTGTCTAAGCCCAGAAAAGGCCTACACACGATTGACACTTTATTTGTAACCGCACTAATTATGCGTCCACAACGTTACTGTTATTCAAGAACATTTAAGAGGATTTTCACCTTTCAATGGCGACTGTAAAATGGCGGATTGCACAGAACACAACAAGCAGGAGCAGACGGGAGGGCAGCCAACGATCTCAGCGCCAGCTATACAATGCAATGTTCAAATAATATTACTCATACTTTTACGTTGCTACCTTCTATATGTATGCACTCTTCATACACTCACACAATCACTATTCAATCACGGAGTATTCAAGATGGCGGCGCTCATCAAGCATGGCAATGTCGGCTCTTCGATTTTTGCAAAAACTACGCTTCTTGCCTTTTTAACGGTTTGTTATTTTTATTATGGTGCATCACCACTATATTCATTAACTGCCATTTGATTTTTTCACACAGTTACTATATATTATACTGTCATTTATGCCATTTTGCTTTATTCAATAACTCACTGTGTGTGTTTACTTATAAAGGCGCCAGTACGTCACTACCCTGCCGCAAAGCCTCAAAGAGGCAGGAGCAATAATAAAAGACTACAACCCAAAGTTAAAGTTTATTTTAAATCCAAATGGGAATGGGATGAGAAGTCTTTGTTAACCAAAGGGTGAGTTTAAATATTTGTACATTATTATTTTAACCCGCGCGTGACATTGTGGTGAAAATTGGCTTAGAAATAAGTCGAACCGATGTCAAACTCGGCCGAACTGTGAAAACTACGGCCATTTTGAAGTGCCACCCCCTCCAATCCTTCCCCATTGACTTTTAGCACTTATACGCAGAAGCTTTGACATTTCAGGGGCGGGGATGTCCAAGTAAACCATAGACAGATGCAAAAAAAAATTATAAATATTTTGCAATATTATAATATACACCTTTTACAATTCACTCTAATAATATAACCTCTAAAGATTATCAATAATAAAAGTTAACTGTTATCACTTGTCATTTAGAATATTATAAAAATCTTCTCACAAATTGGAGCATTTTTTCGCCAAATGAACAGACAAGATAATTATTTAGTTGATTACATAATAGAAAAATATCTTTTTACGTCATGCATGTATTACACAAATTTAATTTAAATAATAAACACGGTTGAGAAACACATCGCACATGTATATATGTACGTCAAGATTTCACAGACTCGACAATAATAACGTTCTGGAAAAATGTTATGGGGAGGGCAGCACTGGATAATAGAGTCCGAACATCGATCTCTCGAAAGATCTTTTCGTCCCTTTCCCTCTTATCATTCAATTTCTCAAACTCTCGGTCCCCTTTCCCGAGGAAATGTGAAAACTTTACACAGAATACTTTACTACATATTCTACATGGAGATTATTCCCCGAAAAGTAGGGGAAAATATTGATTTAAAAGAACAAAAAAAGATAAGTCGTAAACGTTCTTTTTTACAAATAAAAAAATATAAAATTATTTCATATAGATTCCAATCCATATCATTCAATTAAATATTTAATTTCTTTTATTTATTTAATAATAATTTTTTCAGGTTCCTTAGAAATGTAAAAACATATGAACCACCTTCTGATGTATCAGAAAAATTAGAGAAAATTTGCAAAGACAATGGAATATCTGCTAATAGTTCAACAACAATTGATGATCTACAAAAGAGATTTGAATTTTTTAATATCTGTGCTAAAGAATTCAACTATGCTATTCCAAATTCAATTTTATATGAAATTCAGACTATCAGTAAGTAATCAATTTTTTAAACATAAAATACAAGTAAAAATTCTAACAATATTGATTAATATTCTTATAATCAACTTAGGCGATGTGGAGAAATTTTATAAAACTCCAATAAACACAAACTCACCAATGAACGAAATCACGAAAATAGAATTGCCTCAAAATCTGCATATTTTAGAAAATTATCATCGATTTCATCCAGACACTGATACGAAATTTGGTGGAAAAACAGCTTTCCCCAAAAGTTCAACGATTGTTACTAGTATTAAATACAAGAAGAAGTATCCAGGTTTCTATTTGGGAAATCCTTATGAATAATTTTGTATTAAATCAGTTAACTTCTATTTAAATTTTATATCTAAGTCATAAAATGTCTAATGTTTATCTAAATAAACATTAAAGATCAATAAAAAAAAATTTAGTTAATAAAACTTTTAACCTACGTCGTAGTAATATTTTGGAAGGGATGAAACTAGATTAATCGACCCATCGTGCCGTGGCAACCCTCTGTCTTCTATTTGTACACGTGTAAATATCAATACATATGGATATCATATTGTTAGTTTATAAGAGACTAGAGTTCATGTAATTTAGTATATATAACAGTGTACTTTTCATAATAGAATTAGTAATGTCAAGGATAAAAGGCATTGACCTGTCATAGCATATAATAATGTCTGAAACGTCAAGTACAGGTCTCATCGCAGCACGCATAAATCCTATTTATAGACAAAAATCCAAGGTATAACACTCAACTAGTTTATTATTCAATTTATTTAGTAATCTATTTTTATTTATTTATTTATTTACGCATTCTTCCAGAAAATTGAACTATTGAGTATTGCTCATCCAGCACCATTCATCCTTCGACCTTTCGCTGGACTCTTCAATCCCTTTCCTTATGGCTGTTCTGTGTTGTGTAATCATCCTGCCGATTGTGAAGCGAAAGAATTCATTCGGCGGGCAAAAGAATCATGGGCAATGGAAGGCAAAGCAATTCTCTTACCGGAAGAAATGGAGATGATTAGATCTACCCTTTTAGCAGGAACTGTTTTAGATTCCGGAGAAATAAATGAATTAAATAATAGTATAAACATCAACACTACCACGACTGTTCCTGAAGAACTCTTTCGCAAATATACTGAAACTGATTCTAGACCATTAACTCCAACGCCAACATTAGCCAGTGGAACAATAGCTATACATCAAAATCCTTGTGATCAAATTCCCATTCCTTGTAATCCTCGAGAACGTACTACTTTGATTCTAGATCTTAGAACAGCTTCACAAGAACAAGACGAGACATTAAGCTGGCATGCGCTTACTTTGGAACCTCCACCAAGTCCTAGAAAAACTAGTGAGTATTCAAAAACACCTCCTTTAATCCAAAGACATCAACAATCACGTCAAGACAGTCATCCATTAATTGTAGAAGTTAGTGAAGAGGTAATTCCGAATAAATTGCGACAAAAAACTAAACATTACCTTAAAAATAAAAAATTTATGCAATTCATTGCAGTATGCGTCAACAAATCGAGATGATGATGAGGATGGTGAAGATGACGATGATAGAAGTGAAAGTGGCAATGAAATGCCTCTGAAACGTCGAGGAAAACGTTTAAAAAAACGAAGATGTCGAAGAGGATCTGGTTATGGACAGTTAAACGAAGTAAGAGATCCGTTAGAACCATTAGAAACTCAAGTATCACAGGTTGAAGATACATCACGTAGAAATAGCTCTCAAATGCAGCCAGGAAATACTGGAGAAGCTAAAACTTGCTCCGAAAAAATTACAACAGTACTCCAGGATGATATAATTAATTCGAGTTTTATTAGTTCTGAAATTTTGAAACACCTTGTTAGGGAATTAGATAAAGATATTGTTGAAGAAGAATTTCGTTTAAAAGTAAGATTTTTATGTCTATAATTAATTCGTTCAAAGTAGTTAATGTAATTCATATTTCAGCGAAAAATTGCTTTAGAAGAAGCATTGAAAATCAAAGAAGAAACTAATAGTAATCTGAAAACTTCATCTCGATCGAATTTACTTCAATCTTTATCATCACCTTCAAATGCACCACGTATATTTTCTAGACAAAGTGCAAGATTTGAATTGTTAAACAGTTCAAGTCTAGCTCGTTTAACGCCTTTAGATTATTTGGAAAAACATGTTTTTATTACTTCTGGAAGGAAACTTATTTTTGGAAGAACATTTAATAAATTTTATGAAGAAAATTTAGATGGAAAAAGGCTCATATCACCTAATGACTTCATGGAGGCTCTTCAAGAAGTAATGGGAAAATCTTTGAACAATGATCAATTGGAAAAATTCAAAGATATAATTGGTGAAATTACAAAACCATTGAATTTTCGAACTTGGTGTGGAATTTGCGCTGTTTGTGAAAGGCTTTTATGTCCGTTACCACCTAGAGATTTAGATTCACCAACTTGGATTGAAAAAGCAGATTTTGAAGCTCTTGAACAACGATTACAATCTGCTGGCACCAATGTAAATCCAAAATTAGTTCTTTTGTTGAGAGAAATTAGAGATCGTTAAAAATATTTTTACATAAATTATTTTATTATTATTCTTGTGAATATTAATATGATAATTTTATCATTGCCCACATAGAAAAATATTTACATTTTTCACTCATGCTCATAAAATATAAATTAAAAAAATTCACACAAGAAATATCAATTCATACATTGAGCGACAATTATCACTAAACTTCTAACACTCATAAAAAATTACTTGTATCAATATTAATCACGTTATGATTATTAAAATAAACATTTGTTATCGATAGCAAATCACATAAAAATATACTTATATAAAACAGAAAAATAGATCAAGGCACAATACAATTAATATTTAAGGTACAACTTTTTTGAGTTTCGGCATTTTTTTTGGACAAACTACAACATGCCTATTCCAATGCCTAGCTTGACAAGATTCATCACAGTAATATGCTATTTCACACCCAAGACATTTAAATAAAGGTCCACGAAGGCCACAATTTGAGCATGCATAAGTTTTTGCAGTATTTGGACTGTAGGTAACTTTAGCTAGATGCGGGGTTTCACAAGATCGATTTTGCTCCATCCGTTCTTTAACATTTCTAACTCGAGGTCCCATTTGATAGGGAGCAGCTAAATTTTGTAATGCTGTAGGAGCCAATGTAGATAATAAATTACATGGGTCCGAAGTCCAATTATTATTTAAACCATAACTTCTACTAGCAGCTAAATTCTCAGGACCAAGTAATAAAGGACCTCTCCAAGGTGGTGGATAGTTCATTGGTTGCATTTGAGCATCAGAAGGTTGTAAACACATAGTAGGTTTTGGCCAAATTCTATCGTATTGAACTTGCTGCTGTTGAGAAGGATGTATTTGTTGCTGTTGACGTTGTTGGTGCATTTGTTGAAACTGTTGATTAACGAAATTCGTGGCCATTGGTGACATCATGGGATGTATTGGAGGATATGCAACACGTTTTGAAAGAGCCATTGGATCATACCCAAGAGGAATATTTGAGTATGCTCTTTTAGGTTCTTGAAGCGGCTTAGGAACTGTTGAATGCCAATATGGTAAACCTGGATTTTGCGTCACTGACATTGGGTTCACCATAGATGCTACCGATGAATTCATGTGATATTGCTTTGGACCATTCTGCATATCAGGTAATTGCCCATTTTGAATATTTTGAGAATGAATTAATGGAGGTCTATATGGATCCATCTATGATAATCGTTCATTAGTTTTAAAAAAAAAATTTATAAATTTTATTAAAGTAATTGATTACTTACCGAATAATTTCTTGGGTAATATCTATCCATTAATATCTGAGGATATATAGGCTGTTCCACTTCTGGAACTTTTTTATGTATCGACGGTGATATTGAAGGTGTAGATTTTGTTAAACTGTCATGTTGCGCCCTTTGTACTATTTGAGATTGTTGTTGCAGTTGTTGTTGTTGTTGTTGTTCGTGCCATTGTTTATTTTTCATTTGTGACTCAATAATACTATTTGTGTTTAAAGTTGCAGAGTTAATTACTTTTTTTGGCAGTTCTTGATTAAAATTCTGATTTTGGTCATAAACAGGTACTTCATTGTTATTATTATTAACAATTATTTGTTGCTTTGAATTATTTGCATCATACACAGCATTTTTTGATAATTGATTTCGAAGTTTTGTAGATATTTTCGCCAACCAGCTACCAAGAGTAGGAAATTCATTTGATATCGCAATATTTGGATCAATTTCACCATTCACTCTATTTCCAATTGATGGATTTTTAGTATGTTCTGAAGATACATTACACGATGAAGTCATAATCGATTGAATTGTCGACGTAGTATCTGGCAATTTCCTCTTATCACGGATGTCATTAGTATTTGTGTCATTTTCTTCATTATAATCAACATCAATATGCAAACTTTTCACAGAAGAATTATCATCACAATCGTCATTACTTTTATTCAAACTATGAAACGTACTAGTAGTGTCAATAATCATTTCTTCAGGACTTGGTGAACGTCTTAAATCAATTTTTAACACTTCACTAACTTCACATTGCATATTTAATTCGCCGACGTTCCCTTCATCGTCATTATTCTGAATGGTATCTACACTAACCTCAGTCTTAGGCATCTCTAACAACGTTAAATCAAGAAATTCTGGTTTATCTTCGATATTAATTTCTTCACTAATTACACTTCCTGTTGTAGTCGTAATAATAGGTGAAGTAATTAATGAATCCGTGGATCCAATATTACTATACGGCTTAGATATATCTTCTCCTTGCTTAAATAACTTTTTAAATAGCTCACAATTTTCCCAATCATTTTCAGAATCATTATCATTATTCGAAGTAGCTATAGGTAAATGAGGTGGACTATTTCTTATTTGACTTGGATTTGTATTTTCATAATCTCCTGTTATTTTTGGTGATAATTTTGGTGGTTCTGGTGAAGGTAAGTTGTTGAATGATGATATATTTCTTTCATTATTTGTAGAAAAAGATGAAGAATCATCGCTGCTGGTTGGTAAAACCTGGGATGATATCTTAACGATATCTTTATTTATCTCACAATCGGTGTTACTTTGCGCAACCGATTCAGGAATCATTTTTAACATATTTGTGAGTTTTTCAATTTGTTCTGAGTAAGAGTCAATAGTTTCTTTCACAGGAGTACATGGAGACGTAAGAGCAGTCTTTAACATCACTCTGCTGAGCTCAACAGTTTTTTTCTTCAATTCTCGTAATTTCAGTTTTAGTTTATTTTGGTGGCAACGCATTTCTTTCACGTTTTTGTTTGAAGCAGTCGATGAGTCAATTCGCTCATCATAGGGTGGAGTTTGGCCAGTGACAATACGATACTTACTAGCGTGTTCTTTGCTGATTGGCCTAATGCCTGAAAATCAATAAATAGATTTTACGTAAATGTATTATTATTGTAAATGATACTAATGAATAGAATTATTCGTTATCTACTAACCTTCTGAGTTACGATTGTCTTGATCTTCTGGCTGATAATATCTAAATGTAGATACAGAGAGTGGTCTTTTATTTTCAGTTATTTTCGTCGAATTTTCATCTTCATCAATAGATTCCAAATAACTCGTTTGGTTTTCTTGTAAACTTTGTATTTTTTTTAATCTTAATGGTGGTATCTTTAAGCTATTAATCTCCTCATCATCAGGTTTTTTTCCTTTTTTTCGACGTTTTTTACCGATGATTTCACCATTTTTCTCCAATTCATTACTAATTTTCTTATTGTTATTTTCATAAGTTGTTGAGTAAAGATCATCGACACCATGTCTTTCAGGACTATTAGAGATGTCAATAAAATGATGTTCATGAGATTTTTTGTTATATCCATTATCCGGTTTTCTTTTTGTTCCTAAACGCTTAGAAATATTCTGATTATTTTTTTTATTGCATTTTTTTGCTTCAACAATATTTATGATAGATTGACAAGAAGTATTTTGCAATGTTGGAACATCAATTTTCGTGAGATCAAGAGTACACCGAAAATATTGCTGAGGAACATTATTCATTAATGATTGTGACGATGACGATGACAATGATGATGGAGATGACGATGGCATTTGTGAAGATAAAGATGTTGATGTAAGAGTACCTTGTAAATTTGATAAAATGGATGGTGTTGGTATGTTAACTGTATTAGATGTCGGTTGATCATTGGTAATCTTCTTTGATGTGATAGCTCTACATGGTATGTGAGGTGCTGGACGTACTGGTAACGACCGATTCGGTTGAACTGGAATAGGGCATGTGGATCGATCTTTCAATGCAGTTGCAAGTCCACTAGATCCTTGGATGCGTGTTGAGTCAATCATTGTAAAGTCTGTAACCTATCAAAACTTACAATTATAGTCATACACTCTATAATGCTGATTGAAGAGATGATAATTATGAAAGGTATAGAAAATAATGGAAAAGTTTGTATGGTAATAAAATAACTGAAAAGACTATAAAGACTCGTAGAAGCTATACCTTCTTCAAGTATTCAACATAGAACTTATATCTTCTATGCCTTGATATAGAGCTCAACTATCGAGTAGGGACGATGATAAGACTTTAGATCAGCTCTTTACAAGTACAAATGACAGAAAAATGATTGAAGTATGTTTACTACTGTGTTCTAACGTAGGGGATACCGTTAAGGCCACCCTTTATAATTTACGATACATGAACTTTGCTGTCTAGTTCCTTTGTTCATTTCTTTGCTTTATATACGTACGTAATAATATCTAGAAAACGTATAGGTCTTTATAAATAAATTAAAAATTTGTAGAGTTCACTACACTATCAGAAGCAATATATAGATGATTTAAAACGAAACCTCACGATTGCGTGATCTTTCTAAAAATATTAAAAAATTTTTTTTTCAAATGAATAAAATTCACTGAAATACTTTGTTAATTGAAAAATAAAAAACTTTTTATTCATTAAAATCATCTTGATATCATTAATGTATGTTAAAGTATTAAATATAAATGATATATGTATACACTTATTTATCAATACTGGAAATCTTTGAACTTGTATATAGGTACCATAACAAAGAATGCTTTGATGACGTTCATTATATTTGAGTCATCTCTAAACGAATATCATGAGATGAGATTACAACAGCGACGGAATTAAAAACGACTTTTAAAATGGATATTACTGGAATTTTTTAAGTTATTATAAAAAAAAGAACAATGATAATGAAAAATTAATAATGACACTAAATACTTATTTTAATTGATAACTATAAATATAAATTATCTAAGATTGATGTTTTAAATCACAAAAGAAATAAAAAGAATAAATGTGGAGAATCCAGTACCTACCAATCGGAATATTTACACACTACAGACTTGTCCAAATAGATAAAAATTTGTTTAAAATTATTATTACGCTGTTAGATACTAACGTATCTGTGGAATGACAAACAACAACTGTCTGAAACCGGCAACCGGCACAAACGTGTATCGATGTCAACGGGTGGTCTCACGGTTTTAACTTTTAAAACCAAGTAATAAGTATGATAACGTGTTAATCATTATGATAATAATATTACACTATAAAAAACATGTCTATGCATAATAACGCACAATTTTTATCACCACACACTTTATCAAATATTAATAATTATTGTCTATATAGGTTACATAACAAATGAGTTTTCACTAATAAACAAACGCCGATAGTAATTGAAAATGATGAAATCACTCTCGCACTTCTGTGTTTAATGCTGGTTGGTGCACTTCTGACTGTCGGGTCACATCTTCCAGGGCCACGTGGTCATTCAAAGTCGCAGGAGTTTGCGCGCATCAATACCTATCAATCCAAAGGTTTTATTGCCTTCAACTAGAACCGGAACTTATTTAAATTTACTTATCATCATTCATCATATAAATACTACTGTTTATCATTATAGACAGCCGAGTGAGAATTATAGACATGAATTTCGATTGTTAAAGAGATGTTTTCCCGCGATTTCGTTGATAGGTTTCATACATTCTATTTCAAATAGTCTATTTATAGACTAGACTATGCAAGTAACTATTCTTTGTTATTTTACTTCTAAGGTAAAAGAAACTAAAGAGGGAAATAAGTTTATAAAGTTGAGAGGGTACGAATCCCTTATTGACGTAGTTTATTAATATTGCAAACTCTCGTCATGTGTCCTATTGGTGTGTGGTCTTAAGTTTCCACTTTTATTTTTTCTTTATCATGTTTTGGATATTATGTACTTATCTTAAACTAGAGTTCTTATCGTCAAATTAGTTTCAATGTTTCAACAATCTTTTTTAAAAAAAAAACATTTTTCATTATCGGAAATTAGTACAACAATTAACATAATCCAGTTTTTTAATGACGATAACATTTAGAACATATATCAGTTTTGGAAGGAAATATTTTAATTTTTATATATCCAACACTTTATATAATTGATTGCGTGCAATTGTCACTCTTGGGAAAAATGACAATAATAACAAATGACACGAGTAATTACAATTGGTGCGCTATAAAATTTTATTCCATGAACATAACATAATCTCTCCCCCGTTCTGATGGTTACACGTCAGTCTATTAAAATAATAGCAACATCGATCCAGGTCATCCCGCTATATTTTCTTACTTGATTTGTATCGAACAAACAACACAACGTGTTTTAATATACATGGGTTTTTGATTACAACCAAAAACAAGCATGAACATGTCTACATTTCTAATTCAACAAATGTCTTTATTATAAACATTGATCAAATTATATTTTAATTTAGTGTAAATTGTAAATATTTGTCAATAAAATTCAACTTAATTGAAATAAATCATCATGAGTGTTGAAATTGTACGTCAAACATCGACTCGACGTCATCACAATCCAAGGAGATCATACTCTGCTCCAGTGCAAAAGCTGACGGTCAGCAGAAAGAATGTAAGCGTCATGGTCATTTAAAATCATAATACCATCCCAATAGGCAACAATATTCTTCAGTCACATTGTATTAATTGTTAGTAGAATATTGACGAAGGGATACTAGAATGGAATTACAAAGGAAAAGGCCATTATTTTTTTGAATGCTGTAAATTTCTGGAAAATTAAATTTATTGCAGAATGGGCTCAAGTTGTAAAATTTACTATCTAGGATTAAACCTAGAAATCTTTACTTCTAAGCCCCAGTAACTAAGGTCTGAATTCTAAGTAAACTAATAAAATTGTCCCTACTACTAATGATAAACAGATCCCTGGGGCTGTATTTAACTTAAAGACTTGAGATAAATAAAATTCAGTTTTTATGGATAAATATGGAATATTAAAAAAAGGGAAACAAGCTAATAAAAGTATGAATGGGCTGAATGAATGAATCCACAAAATGTGCTCATCAGATGTATGAAAGCAGTTGTGTGACCATCTCTGAACTATAGCACCATGTGCTAACCGGTTTACATGTTGGAAAGATTTATAACAATTTTCAAACGTTTTATTTCATTAAATTTTTTTTTAAATATTTATTTAGGTTATCTTAGATTGATTAAATTTAAACTTCCGAAATTATTGTTTTTTGTTATAATATTTCTTGTTACTAATTAGCTTAATTTTTTACAGTTACTTGAAAAAAATAAAAAACTTAATTACCAATATTTTTTAGCATAATGAGAATGTTGGAAAATCTTTGCGACTTCCCTGCAAGAGTGTTTTATCAAGGAAAGATTATCCAGGAGCGAAGATCATATCAAAGTCTGAATATGAATACTTACGAGCATGTGCATCTCAAGGTTTAATAAATGAAGTGGCGAAGAAGGAAAGCTTGATTGAGCATGAAGCGAAGAAAGATCAATTATTAGCTGAGAGTATGGCTCGTAAACAAAAGATCCGCCAAATAGATATTGAGAAGCTTAAAAATAAATCAGGGAAGCTTGATGAATTTGAAAGTGAAGCTAAAGCACGTACAATGCATCTACTTGAACGGGCTTACAATTTAAGACTTGAACAAGAAGAAGAAATGCAGTTGTGTAATAAATTGATATTAGAAACTAAGTGTCGAGCTATAAGAGACCTTCAGGTAAACAAATAATATCAAATCTTACATAAAAAATCAAACTAATTTTTTGTTTGAAAATAATTATCAGGTTGCGGAGAAGAAATTGATTGAAAAAGAGTTGAATAATGAAGAGGAACGTTTAAATAAAATAATGGAAGAAGAAAGACTGCGTAAAATAAAAGAAGAAAAAAGAAAAGAAGAGGAAGAAGCTGCGAAAAAACGTGCGTTTGCTAATTTATTGAAAAGCCAGATAATAGAGAATGAAGAGCAAAAAATAATAGAGTTTGAACGAAAGCTGGAAGAAGGGAAACTAATAAACTTGAGTAATATTGCTTGGCAAGATGAAGAAATAGCAAAGGAGAGAAAAAAAAAAGAAAGAGATGCTTTGATAAGAAAAGAATTGGCTGCTGAAAATGAAAGACTCATGAAATTTAAAGAGATGGAACGAGAACAAAACAAAATTTTAGACATGAGAATAAAAGAGTACCAGAAAATGAAGGCAGAACGTGATGCTGCTAAAGCTGAAGCTCAGAGAGCTATCCAAGCTCAAAAAGATAAAGAAAGAGTGAAATTGATGGCACAAGCAGCTCAAGCACAAGATTTTCAAGCACAAATTGAAGAGTTGAATGCCATACGTGTGAAAGAAGAAGTTGAACGAGAATGGAGACGTAAAGAAAAAGAGGCAGCGATTAATAAATTGAATACTCAGCGTCAATTTGCTCAAGCTAGAGAAGAGCAAATAAAAAATCGGAAAATTCGTCAAGCAATGGAAATTGAACGAGATAAACGTGAATTTGAAAAAATTTTAGCAGTTCAGAAAGAAGCACTTGCCAAAGAGAAAGAGAAACAAGAAAAACAACGTCTTGAAGCTCTTAGATATCGGGATGAAATTTTAAAACAGGTTAATAAAAGAGAAAAAGAGAAAGTTGAAGCAAGGAGGAAAATATTTGAAGAAGGTATGGCTAATCGTGCAGAAATAGAAATGAGAGCTAAAAGACTTAAGGATGCTATCGAGAAGAAATGCGAAGAAATGAGGAAAAATAAAGTACCGGAAATGTATATTAATGAAGTTAAAAGTTTGATTAACAAAATTAACTAAATATATGAAAGTTTAAATAATACATTGATAAGCCATTTCTATGAAGAAATTAATTTTCGTGATAATATAAGTAATGGAGATTTCATTAAATATCTTTTATTTAAATAAAACAACAACATTGGCATCTTTCTCAATGATATCATCAATCTGTGCCACTGACTGACCAGTATTACAACAAATTTCATCAAGGCTATAAGCTCCTGTGAAATATTTATAAATGGGATCACTTTTACAGTCTTCACCATTCTCGTCAATATCAATAAATGATCCTTTCAAATAAATTGGATATTTATAAACTCTTCGAATCAATCCTTCTATTAATCCGAATTGCACAAGCTTTCTTTCGTTTATCATTAAATTCTGGGGATTTAAACGCTGGCATAAGTCTCTTACACTCGTTCCATGCGTCATACTTGCGTACATTCTATAAATATCACGAAGATGTGCTGGTTGTCGGCCTATATTAAAATAAACATTAATAATAAATTAAACTATGGTTAATAATATTAAAACTTTTCAATTCTCACATGATTTAGATACGTAATTGACACATCTCCTTTGTAAATCTGAATTTTCTGCTAACGTTCCAAGCTTGGATGTAGTAGTATAAACATTACAGTATTGAAATATAGGAATCAAAGTAACTACTCCATAATAGACTAAATTTTGTACACAACTTTTTACAAGATTATTCTCTACATCAGCTTCAGCAGCAATACGAGCAACGTGATTGAATCCATCAATGTAAGGTAATACTTGTTGAGTTGTAAGGTCCCATTGATCACTGCAGAATGTATCACGATTCACTAGAAATACTGGAACTTGATGATCAAGAACTGGTTTAGGTTCAGCTGCCAATCGAACCACCTTCAGATGAGTTGTCATTGTTCCTTCGGTTAAAGTGCACATATTATGACTGTTGAGATCATTCATCACTTGTCTGAGCATCTCAGTAAGGCGAGTTTTATCATCACTGACTGAAGATAAAAAACCATTTTCCACTTCTAAAGCCATCTATTAAATTATATTAATTAAAGTGCAACTGTTAACATGATTATACATACATTTAAAATTTATTTCATCTTTATTACCAGAAAATCAGACATCTTTTTCACCACCGGCTCATAGTGGACTGTTCGAGCTTCAGCGTCACATACAAAACATAAATTAAAATAGAAAGCATTTCTAGCATACTTTTTATTGTCAATCTTTACGGGAAATCCTAAAATTTTGCAGTCTCTTAATGTTCTAAAAATAAAATCAAGTTCTTTACTAACGTGAACAACCAAACTGACATAAAAATAAAAATTTCATACACTGTGAGAGTACTCCTTTGAAGTTGTGCTTTGGGAATGATATATACACTAACATTATCGAATATATCCTTGGAAACATAATTGTCAGGAACCTATAATTATAAATAAGGTAATTATAAATTATTTATACAAAATCAATTAGTGTTTAGAAAGAAATATATAATTTTTTATGAGTAAACTTAACCTGACAGGTAATTTTTGGTCCTGCTATGTGATGAAATTCTGAGAAAAAAATACATCTAATGACACTTTTATCATCACTATTTTCTTCATGATTAGAATTAGAATATAACATTTTTCTTAAAATATTTGTTCAATAGATTAATGTTTTTTTCTTCTAAAAAATATTTACTTTTTTTCATCGAATCATTTCATTTAAAGGCCTAACCTCACATTTATTATTGTTTGTGACAACTGTTGCCAGAGAAGATGTTCAACAAATAGCGATAAGTTTATAAGGTGGGAAATATGAAATCCAGCGAATCATCAATAGTCAACAATGAAAAAAAAATTATTTTCATACTAGCTAGTATAAAATACACAACCTATACTTCTCATGCGCGAAATTATCATTCATTTGGAGTAACACGTCACGCGATAGATATAATAGAATTTGAAGGAAAAATAAAACAAGTTTTCCTTGACTGAATCACTTAATCAGTTGAAAAAGTACATAAAAGATGCCAGTAAAAATTTCTTGGCCTGCTGTCATTGGAATTATTCATCCTAATATAGGTGGATGGGCTGGAGCATACGTGACTCGACAAAATATCGGTCCTTGGTATAAGGTAATGCTTTATTTAGCATAGTTACTCGAGCATGTTTTATTTATTAAACTTTTAAAAAATTTATAATTGCTTCAAGTTCCTTAAAAAACCATCTTGGACCCCACCCAACTGGGCATTTGGACCAGTATGGACTGGATTATATTGTTCAATGGGATATGCATCTTATTTAGTCTACCAAGAGAGTGGTGGATTTGAAAAAGCTGTTGTTCCATTTACAATTTATGGAACAAACTTAGCTTTAAACTGGTTATGGACTCCAATATTTTTTGGAGCACACAACATTAAATTGGTATGTTATTGACTGATTTAATTTTTTACAAATTATTGATTTATTCGCATGAATCTAATGTTACTTAATTTATTCATTATTGTTTGCAGGCTCTGTATGAAATCATTCTCTTATGGAGTAGCACTGCAGCATTAAGTGTAAGCTTCTACCAAGTCAATAAACTTGCTGGTTACCTAATTTTACCCTATCTTGCATGGACTTCTCTTGCTACTGCTCTCAACTATGCAATTTATCGTGATAATAAAAGTATGAACACTGATGATGAAAAGAAGAAATAAAATGGTATCGTAAAGATAAAAACATTTTATAATAATATACTTTTTTTTAGTGAATAAATTATTTCTTAGACATTAATTATTATAATTATTATTTTTTCCACACTTTTTATAGTGTATATATTTTTATTACTTTATAAGAAATAAATGTGAGTTGGCCAACCACAAATCGGTTACAATAATGATATAATAATTATAATAATAATAATATAATAAAATTTACTTTTCTTCTTTATACCTTTATCACCTTGATCTTTTCACATCTACTTTATATTTTTATCATATTTACTTTGTTGATTTCTATTAGTTTAAAGTATCGAAATTCATATATGATTAAATCTAAGTTTTGTATCATCTTCCAAGAATCAATCGTTACGTTGGATCTGTAGCGTAAATATATCCTTGTTGTTGAAGAACATAAAGCCGTTTTTCTACTGCAGTTTTATCTAAAATGAAATTTAATACTCGTTAAAACTTGATAATAAAATTGAAGGAATCTATTACAAGCTTGGAATATTTTTTTTCCAAAACAGATAGATAAACAATTCACTTGTTAAATAAACTTACATTTGATAAGCAATGCTCTGTCTTGACTGTGACTCACATGTTGAGACAATGAATGCAGAAGTATTTGTGCAGTATGATAACGTTGGAAACATTCTGCTGGATTCCCAAAGAGTTCATCCAAAGCAGCTGATTGACACTATTATTATGAAAATAAATATTTAATGTCCTCTACTTTATTTATATTAATTAGAAAATTATTTTTCAATTAATAAAATAATCATACCATTTGTATTGCATGATTATAAAGAATTTTATCAGCAGTTGCTCCTGTTTGTCTTAAAAGACCAGCGCTATTTAATTGTTTACATTCCGCTAAGCAACTTCGAAATTTTTCATTCATCGTATTTACAACCTCTTTTACAGTAGCTGTAGGTTGTAATTTCCCTGCTTCCAACTGCTGTGTAGCAAGGCTAAGACCAGAACTCAACCACTGTAATGCTCTCACTAGAAGAATCACTTGTTCTGCTCTCCTTTTGGTAGACGCATTACTTGCTGGTTCAATTCCACCAAGAGGAGCACCTAGTGGTGTTGCTCGAGTTCTAGAAACTTCAATTACACAATCACAAAGAGCTACGACGAAATTGAGCTTTGCTAAGATTTCGTTATGCTCGCGTTCCAGAAGAGTCTCTTCTGGCAGTTCTGGAGCAATAAATGTCAATGGACGATCATCCGAATTTGAGGGAATAAGTTCTGGAAAAAAGTTTTGAAAACTACCTGCTTCTGTAATTTAAAATAATTTATTATTCTTTATTTTATGCTTTGGATAGTTTTCAAGTATTGATAGTGAAAAAAAATAATATTTTTACTTACCAGAAATTTCAGGTAAAGTAACAGCTCGAGTTCCAAATGGGATCACTGGTGAATGTTTCATAGTATTATTATTATCTTGAAGAGCTTTAGCCGTAGGTGAACCTAGTACTGCTAGTGGTCCAGTGAGAATAGGAGTCGATGCACTATTAGTTCCCAAAGATTTTTTCAAAGGTGATGTTCCAGTTGAGACATGAGAATGCCTGGCTATTGGACTGACTTGCCATGTATTTGGTGGTGGAGGAGTTTCACTAAGTCTTCTACCTGGTGGTGTTCCAATAACAAACTGTACACTAGGTGGACTTAGAGATCCGATATCTACTGCATGACTTTTATATGCATCATCATTGCGTTTCATGCTAATTGGTTGTGATCGTGGTACAACACTTGTTTCTGTTTGAGATGTTGGTGATGGAGACGATGGATGAACGGTGCTTCTTTGAGTTGGAACTGGAATAGGTTCCGAAATTGGCAAAAAACAAGGACGTGGTGGACTTACTGCTTCTTTACTTGTCTGTTTCGTATACTTAATCGGCTGAGAATTGGGATTATTTTCAATATCATTACCCAAATCATTTGGAACTAGAACAAAATCATCTTCTGGGCTGGAGCATGGGCTATTTGTTTCTGGTTCCGAAGCAGCAATAAGTCCACTTCGAGGTTCTTGAATATTGTCTGGAGATGCAGGCAACTCAGCAAAAGGTAATGGAGGACTTTCTTGTGCTCCATGTAGAAATGAATGGTTAAAAAATTCATCAAAAGGCATACGATCTTTAGCATTACGTCTTAAAAGCCCTAAAAGTAGATTGGTAAGTTCGGGTGATGTTCCAGGTGGAATTTTAGGACCAAAATTTAAATTCTTTTCATAGAAAAGCTTAAGAGCTTGAGGTGTATGAGCTTGAAATGGAGCTTTTCCAGTGAGACATTGAAATACAATGGTACCAAGAGACCACAAGTCGGCTTTTGCATCATATTGAAGTGACATTATTACTTCAGGTGCCATATACATAGGAGATCCACACATAGTAGCTGCCATTACGCCGTCTTGAAGAAATCTTGCAAATCCGAAGTCAGCTAAAATTTAAATTTTTATTAAATATTAAATAAAATAATGGTTTTGGTATTAAAAAAAAAATTTACCAATTTTCAGAGTAATTTGATGTGGTTGTGGACATGCTTTTCCACAATTGTGACTTAATAAAATATTTTGTGGTTTTAAATCTCTGTGAACAACACCTTTAGCATGAAGAGCTTTCATAGCTCCTGCTAATTGCTTTAAAAATACTCTGATTGTGTCCTCAGATAGAGTACCCTTAGCTGTGAATTGAATTGTAAATCAAATTAACAATTTATTAATATATTTTATTACATCAAGTATGATTTAGTAAACACTTACCACCTAAATAATCCGCTAAATCCCCACCATTGCAATATTCCATAACCAGGAAGACATTGTGATTAGACTCCTAATGACATTTAAATAATTATAGCAAACAATTTTCAATTATATAATTTATTAACTTACTTTACAGTCCAATAAAGCGACGACATTTTCATGATGTAGCTCAGTAAGTTCCTAGAATAGATTAATTTAATAAATTTCAATAAGTAATTGACAAGCAATGAAAGAATAAATGTTTAAATAGTTGAATAAATAATCTAACCTTTAAAATCTTGATTTCTTTTCCCAAAAGATTTTGTGATTTGGCTAAGCTTTTCTTTGTTATACTTTTGATTGCTACCACAAAGTTTGATTTCTAAAAATAATCATAATTTAATTATATTTTCTTCGCGGTAAAAATGTATATATGAAAACGTCAAAACAAAAAAGAAGTAATTGTATAGCAACAATAATAAACATTCTTACTTTTCTGTGTCTACCCTTAAAGACAACAGCAAAAGCACCGTGACCAATCAAGTCCTTTGTATTGTATTCATAATCACCAACTATTTCCATAGCTCTTGAATCTTAATAAATACTTGAAAAAATATTAAACAGAACGAAAAAAATTATAAACACACTTTTGAGCGAGATGAATCGCGCATCATTGGGATCAATACAAGAAAAGTCAAGATTTGACTGCAAAAACTTCATACTTTAATTCAATTTTCAATTAAAATTAATGTCACCCACAGACGACATTATTTAACGCAAATAAATAAACCATTTTAATGGTTTAGTTTTATCGATAGACGTACAAAAGTTGTCTACAAAAAATCAAGTTGATGAGTAACACCGAAGTTTGATCAAGTGGAGTTGGACGAAATGTAACAAAATGTCAGCCAGCTCTTATGTGTGAGTAAATGTGTTCATGCGCCGTTCTTCTATCAGCTGAGGGAGTAAGTTCTACATATGTATATTTGTCTCTTTACGTGCACTCATACGTAAGCTTCTACATCTGTTGAAAGAGTGAGCGGAGTATTGTAGAGAATGATTAAACAAATCTGGACAACTTTTTCTTTTTCATTAACTTAAACGAGTATTGTTAAGTAGGTCAACATTATTATCATAGTTTTAGTGAAAATTTTTTCGCAACTGACTATAGTAAAATAACCTCAAACTATAAGGTTAGTATTATGTTTATATTTCTTTAAATTCAGTTTAAATACCTAATTATTATTTTTTAATTATTAATAGTTTGTATGTAACTAATTTAATCATTTTCTCTTTTATTACAGAAAATAACTTTCTATTACGATTGAGGTTATATTATTGTAGGTGATTGTTTACTAACAACTCATTTTTGATATATTTTCAAGACTATGGAGCTGTGAGTATAGAATTATTTAATTCTTTTTAAAACATTTCTATTATTTTAATTAATTATTTTTTTTCTTCAAGGTTAAATGAAAATGTTGCATATTTGAGTAACTATGAAGTGTTAGATATATTAAAAGGAATAAAGGGAAATAAAAAACAAAAAACAAGAAATCAACTGGCTACAATAACATATCAAACTGTAAGATACCTAGAAGATAGTTGCTGCAAAACTCAAACGCCTGACAAAATTAAAGAATTTTTAAAAGCCTTAGAGCCATTTAAATTGACGAAAAATGAAAAACTGGCTTTATTAAATCTACGACCAAAGACAGCACTGGAAATACAGCTGGTAAAAATGAGTTCATTAATGAAATTATATAAAAATTATTTTAAGCTTTAAAAATTGATGTATATTTCAGATCGTTGAAGACAGTGAAGACAGGTTAAATGAGAAAGAAATTGAATGGCTTCTTCAAACTGTTGAAGTTCATTTGAAAGATCCGATTGAAATTAAACAAGAAATAATGGAAGAAGGTAGTTGACTTGCTGGACATGTTATGTACATTTATTTATAGTAAATATTTCAAATGACGTAAAGATAAATATTGTGCGAATTTTGTATTCATCTCACTTATCATCTTTTCTGATCTCCTAAATCATCGATTAAGTCTTCATCAATCTAAAAAAACATTTTATAATTATTATAATTTAAGAATTATTAATAATAATTTATTTAAATAATAAAGTAATTATATAAATACTTGTGGCCATTTTTCCGGAATCACATCGAATAACTCATCTTTCACATCCCCTTGAATAACTATTTCATCGTCTCCCGTCACACTTGATCCACAAGCAAATTTACTTCCAAAAAACTTCGCTGCGACTTTCAAGTCGATATCTGACAAAATTACATAACTATTTTAATATTGAACTAATTTTTAAAAATTATTATAGATAACTTACGGAAAGTATTGAGGCCAGTAACGACAGTAACAGACTTTTTCTTTCCTCTAGGAGCTCTCGATACAGTCACTAATTTAGGAACGTCTTCTTTTTTCTTTGCTTTGAGCATTCCTTTACCTCCTCTCTTTTGCCTTTTCTTTTCATCATCTCCAGCACCTGATTCTCCGGACATTCCGTCTTCTTGTAATTTTATTTTTTCAAATTCTTTTGGTAAATGTGCCTCTAACCATTGCTTGCATTTATCATACTCTGGATAGTATTCACAGTACTGAAAAAAATCAATAAAATATTTTTTATATTATTCAATAATAAATAATTAATTTATATGTTTAATTGTCTTATTACCTCAATTGGTAGAGAACAATTTCCACAGTATTGTACTTGAATAGGATAAGTGACATTGGGATCAGCTCCAAGACGAAATTCTGATTGTTCTTCTTCTGCCATTGTTTAGTTTGATTATGAAATAATTTATTCACAGTGATAAAAATTAAAAGCCACAATATTTAAAATATACAAGTATGTTTATTAACAATAAAAAATGAAAAGTTTTCAGTAAATACTTTTTGAAAAAGTATATTATAAGTCAAGATTTGGTTGTTCACATGAGAATATAATACATATGTAGAAGATTTAACGATCGTAGGTTAAGGTTAGTTGGGCGGCTTTCAGATTCCGAAGCCACGAATTAATTTCTCAAAATTTCCTCAGATGGTGGTAGTGGGTCTGTTCAAGCTGCTGAAGGTACACGTGTAGTTGCTCAGAGAGAGGCAGAGAACAGCTGAAATAAACGAAACAAAGTGCGGTAGAAAATTGAAGTAGTTGCTGCAGTGTAGCTTGATATCCGATGTGTAGAGCACGACCAGTACGACAGAGTTGTACAGTGGGTTCGATGTGCACAAGTGTGCACTGTCCCGTCTAGTTCAAGAGGCTAATACTCACGGCCTCTTTACATTTTGTCTCAAGCTAAAACTCGTGTTCATCTAAAATTTCTAGTTATTTGTAAGTTTAAATAACAAATAAGTATAATTATCTACTGAACAAGCCAATAAGAGGTCGTAATTGTGGTGACAAAGTTATTGAGACTGATTATTTGTGAAAAGTTAAAAGTGGGACATGGCTCTTGGGTCCCAAGTTGAAGCAAACGGCGAGGATGGTGCCGTCCAAATCCCAATGGTTAATGGAAAAGACAAACGTGTTGGTTAGTTTAATTATTATTAATTAATATAACTAATAAACAATATCATTTACATCAGATAAAATATTGGAGTACTCCTTTTTTATTTGAGAAAGAATCAGTGCTCTTAAGACGCCGGGCATCGTACTCTCGTGTGTTATATAACGTTCAATTGCACAGACTCGAGGTCTCGTGGTCATGTGAGCTTATATTCATATAATCGAATAAATTACCAATTTATTTAAATAATTACTTATTTATATAAAATAATGATTTTATTTGTTATCTTTTGCTTATTCTTCAATCGATTCAATCAATTTTATCTTAATTTCATTCATTCCAACGTGCGTCTCTCTTTGTTAACGTTTTTATTACAACGAGGTTGCATCATTCCGGCATGGAAATTTAAATTATCAATAGTTACTCTTCATTTAAAAAATTAACAAAGAGTTTTTAGTTTATATTACTTTAAATTAACATGCAAGCTTTAATATTGTTACTTAAAACAACCTGAAAAATATTTTCAATAATCACACATTATTTCTTCATATTAGATAATATACCTGAAAAGGTTATACTTTCTAAGTTAATCTAAAAAGCTTGTTTGGAGTAATTGAATCATATCTTAAATTATCTTTTTACATACTTTAGTAAATACCTAACATGTAAAACAATTTTTTGTTGTTAAAATAACTTTAATTATAAATTTAATATCATTTTGTATTTGTAAGAAACCTTGGACTTGAAAGCTGGTTGGACCCACGGGCAGTCGACGAAGATGAAACGTTTTAAAGTAGGGAGCAGAGCACATGTACAGGAATTTTTGTTGTATTTATTTTCTCCTCAATTTAGAAATTCAGCTGTTTCGCTTCCTATGTAAATTAAAAAAATTTATTTTCATAAAAAAAACTTGCTAGTCATGCTATACCGTTATATACATACAATATATATATAGTTTTGAATACAATATGAAAAGTAATCAAAGAAGAACAAAAGAGATAACCCTTGGTTATCACACTTTATAGATTTGCTAATAACTTTGAACGAGGAATACTTCTTTTAATCACACACGTTCTACGCTATTATTTTACAATCATTCACATTGTTTTTATTTTTTTTCACATAATGATGTCTTTAAGTATGTACATGCATAGTCATATAAATAGATAGATGAAAATACTTTTGGCATTTAAGCGTACACTCTGATTTACTTACGTGTATTTATAAGTACACTCGTGAATGCAAAAGATCCTTTTTTATTGCTCTTTTCATGGCTACTATCATGTTTGTCTTTTTTGCCTTGACAATTATATTTACTCTCTAAGTTTTCATTACGTCTTCAATTGTTGTCACTTGAATTTTTTTTACAGACAATTTGTTAACAAAATTTCCTTTTTGTTCTAGATGACACGCCGAAAGATGATGAAGCTAATGTCAGTAATGTCAGTGAAAATGTGTTGGAAAAAGGCGAGGTAGAGGCCACCAAAGAAAGTGAAAAAGAAAAAGATAAAGATGAAAAAGAAAAAGAAGATGACAAAGAAAAAGATGGTGAACAAGAAGTGGTTTTTATCCAGGACATGGGATTTACAGTCAAAATCGTTAGTCCTGGAGCAGAACCATTTGATATCCAAGTATCCAGCATGGAATTGGTCCAAGAAATTCATCAATTACTTATGGATCGTGAAGATACGTGTCATCGAACCTGTTTTTCTCTACAACTAGATGGAAACACATTGGACAATTTTGCTGAACTTAAAAATATTGAAGGTTTAAAAGAAGGTTCTATTATTAAAGTTGTTGAAGAACCTTACACTATGCGTGAAGCTCGAATTCATGTCAGACACGTGCGTGATTTATTGAAGTCTGTCGATCCAGCAGACGCTTATAATGGTGTTGAATGCAGTAGTTTGTCGTTTCTAAATGTGGTTACCAATGGAGACATTCTAGAAAAGAAAAAGATGCGAACTGATGCTGTGGATTGTACACCACCTGATTATATTATACCTGGATCTAAAGAAAGGCCACTTTTGCCACTTCAACCACAAGCTAAAGAACAAAAATGCCCTCCTTGTTTAAAGGTAAGAAATGTTTGCAAAAAATTCATTTAATCAAAAAATTTTTAATTGCTAAAAAATAAATGTTTAATTCAGGTGTTGACTACATCGGGTTGGAATCCACCACCTGGGTACAGAAAGCTCCATGGAGATTTGATGTATTTACAGGTAATTACTTTAGAGGACAAGCAGTATTTCATAACTGCGTGTGGACGTGGTTTCTTCGTTAATCAATCATCTAAAGAAACTTTCAATCCAAAACCAGCAACACCAAGTCACCTGTGTCATAGTTTAATTGAGTTACTTAATCAACTCAGTCCGGCATTCAAACGTGGCTTCGCTGCTATGCAACGTCGTAGAACTCAGCGACATCCTTTCGAAAGAGTTGCAACGCCTTATCAACTTTATTCGTGGTGTGCTCCACAAACAGAACATACTATTGATGCTATTCGAGCAGAGGATACTTTCTCAGCAAAGTTAGGTTATGAAGAACATATCCCAGGTCAAACACGTGACTGGAATGAAGAGCTTCAAACTACTCGAGAGCTTCCAAGAAAAAATTTGCCTGAAAGACTTTTAAGAGAGCGTGCGATTTTTAAAGTACATAGTGATTTTGTTGCTGCAGCAACGCGTGGTGCTGTTGCTGTGATAGATGGCAATGTTATGGCTATTAATCCTGGTGAAGAGCCCAAAATGCAAATGTTTATATGGAATAATATATTTTTTTCACTTGGCTTTGATGTTCGTGATCACTATAAAGAACTTGGTGGTGATGCTGCAGCTTTTGTTGCACCTAGAAATGATCTTCAAGGTGTTCGTGTTTATGCAGCAGTTGATTTGCCAGGGCTTTATACCTTAGGAACAGTTGTTATTGATTACAGAGGATATCGTGTTACTGCTCAATCAATTATTCCAGGAATACTTGAAAGAGAACAGGAACAATCAGTCGTCTATGGATCTATTGATTTTGGCAAAACGGTTTTAAGTCATCCGAAGTATCTCGAATTATTAAATAAAGCTGGCCAACAACTTAAAATTTTACCCCACAAAGTAATAAATGATGCTGGGGAAGAAGTAGAATTATGCAGTAGTGTTGAATGTAAAGGAATCATTGGCAATGATTCTCGTCATTATGTACTTGATTTATTAAGAACTTTCCCTCCAGATGTTAATTTTTTGAAACTCGAGGGCGTTGAACTAAGTAAAGAAGCAAGAGCACTAGGATTTCCAGTGGAACACAAACATCGATTGGCATGCCTACGTCAAGAATTGATCGATTCGTTTGTCGAGTTTCGTTATGTTCAATTTATTAAAGATGCTGCATCTAATCTTCATCGAGTAACGTCTTCTCGTTTGTCTCAACACTTAGAGAAATTCAATGAATACAAACCAAAAGATGAAACTAAAACGGCGAAAGAAGAATCGAGTACTCCAGTTGTAATTGATAGTAATAAAGAAGATGAATCAAATATCGAGGCTGACGAAGCTAAAAAAATAGTTGAAAGCATAACGCATTCAATAACTGGAGGAGAAAAACAAGAACTGGAAGAAAGTAGTAAAGAAATTGTTCATCGAGCAGCAGCAGCTGTAGGAAGCCTACGTGAAGCAGAGTTTTATGTTAAATTTAATCCTGATGTCTATTCACCAGGTGTGAAACATCCGGATCCAAATGGAGAAAGTTTGAAAAAACAACGTCAATTAGTACGTGATGCTGCTGATTTCTTGTTGACTGTACAGTTGCCTACATTTATTCGTGACTGTTTAGATCATACCGCTGCAGCCATGGATGGAAGTACTCTTGTTGAAGCTCTTCATAGTCGGGGTATTAATGTTCGTTATCTTGGAAAACTTGCTGCTATGCTTGCTATTGTTCCTCAACTTAAATATCTTCACCGTATTGCGGTTTCAGAGCTTATTCTTCGATCTGCAAAACACGTGTTTACATCTTACATGCTAGGAACAGAATTAATGAGTCTTTCTGCAGCAATAAGTCATTTTCTAAACTGTTTATTGTCTTCGGCACAACTTACTCATCCTCAACTAAATCTGGAAGAATTGCAGAGTAAAACCGCCAAAAGACGCAACAAAAGAAAAGGCAGAAATAATGGAGCTCATCAATTTGAGGTCGAGTGGGCAAGTTTGACACCTAAATCACTTTGGCAACAAATCAAGGCCGATTTAAAGAGCTATTACGATTGGGAAACACCTACTCCAGAATCACTAGATGCTACTATTGACCATTTTAATTTACAAAAAATTTCTCTTCTGCGAGGATTCTGTATCAAAACTGGCATTCAAATACTTCTTCGTGAATATAATTTTGAAAATAAAAATAGAGCTACATTCTTTGAAGAAGACATTCTCAACATTTTTCCTGTAGTTAAGCATATTAATCCACGTGCAAGCGATGCTTACAATTTTTATACAACTGGCCAAAGTAAAATTCAACAGGGCTACCTCAAAGACGGCTATGAACTCATCAGTGAAGCCTTAAATTTACTTAATAATGTCTATGGAGCAATGCATCCTGAAATAGCTCAGTGTCTTCGAATGTTAGCAAGACTGAACTATATTATGGGCGATCACGGTGAAGCTCTCGCAGCACAACAAAAAGCAGTTTTAATGTCTGAACGAGTGAGTGGGATTGATCATCCCTACACCATTACTGAGTATATTCACTTAGCTCTTTATTCATTTGCCAATGGTCAGGTATCAGTATCATTAAGATTGTTATACAGAGCTCGTTATTTAGCTTTACTCGTTTGCGGCGAAGATCATCCAGAGGTTGCTCTTATTGATAGTAATATTTCGCTCATTCTCCATGCCGTTGGGGAATATGAGCTTTCACTACGCTTCCTAGAACATGCCTTAGCACTCAACTTACATTATCATGGACCACGTTCTCTTAAAGTTGCTGTATCTTATCATTTAGTAGCAAGAACGCAGTCTTGTATGGGTGATTTCCGAGCAGCCCTTAATAATGAAAAAGAAACTTATGCAATTTATAAACAGCAATTGGGAGAAGAACACGAAAAAACAAAGGAAAGCAGTGACTGTTTAAGACATTTGACTCAGCAAGCAGTAGTACTTCAGAAGAAAATGAATGAAATCTACACAGGAAAATCTGGTGTCAGTCTACCACCTATTCAAATCCAACCTCCCAGTATGGGATCAGTGCTAGATATGCTCAACGTTATCAATGGAATTTTGTTTGTTCAAATTAGTCCGCAAGATATTGAAAATTTAAAGGCAGAAATTGAAAAACGACAAAAAGAACAGGTGCCTGAAAGTGATGTTAAATCTCGTCAAGATAGTAAAAATGCTACAAAACTAACCAATGATAAGACAGAAAAATTACTCACTATTACAGAAGATACTGTAACAAATAATGTAGACACAACTAATGAGACTCGAAAACCAATATCTACAGATAGCTGAACTCAATTTTAATTATTCGATCAATCGAATTATCTATCTACATCTAAGATCTACAAAAAATAAAATAGATTTGAAAAATTAATCAATATAAACAGTAATTAAATTCATAAGCCATATTGTTTTCATATCATTTATAAGTCGCACGAGTCTTATTTTTTTTACAGTGTTATTATATCACTGGAAATATTTTTGTTTTTTTTACGTATCAACTATCCTCATAGAGCTAATAACAGGTGATTAAAGCCAAAGATCAGCTCGTCAATACAGTAAGATTGTTATGTAACACGTGAGGTTTACTGTTAAATGGATTTTGCAAGGACTAGATCCTTAAGCTTTATATTCAATACTTTAACATACTAGAGTATGGATGATATTGTTAAATCTGTAAATAATTGTCAGAGAAGAGACACTCGTCACGTCATGCTTCTCCTCAGTGAGATAAAAATCAATGTTAAAAAAAAAAACAACATACTTATGATGCTGCTCATATTAACTATTTATGTAGCATTTAAATACCAACAATTTTATCTTGGTTTTTTTATTACAAATTATTCCATCGACTCTGAATAATGTTTTATTCATAAAAATACACTCCAATTATCTGTGTATTTATAATAAACTGATGATCTATTGGCTTTGATAGATACATTTCAAGTAATCTTTTAGATTGTAGAAGATGATACAAATTTTTTTTGTATAATTCATCGGAATAAGTATGTTCTTTTTTTAATTTTATGAGTGACTGATGATCATTGTTTTTCATTTGTGCATGCAAGTATCTAGTAGAGTCATTATTTGGTAAAAATGGGTGCTTATTTGGATCTCTAGCATTTTTTTTATTAGATTGAATATTTTGTAAGTGCTTCCAATGTCGTTATTGTATTCATCAGCACGTTGATTTTATATTAATTGTTATTTTCAACTGAAAACTATATACAAATTACAGTGCTGTAAAATGTATTGTTACGTTTAGAACATTTGCCACGAGAAATGAATGTTTAGTATGTTTGAATAGGAACGCAAAATAATTAAATTCACTCAATTAGATTAAAGTAAGGTAAAACGATATACTTTAGAAACGCTTATAGGATGTACAATAATCAATTTGTGTGTGCCGATTATTATCCAATACAGTAGATTAAAAAATAGTGTTCTGTTACCATGTTTTATTAAAGACAAAGCTAACTTTTTTATTACGTAAAGGCACAAAGAAAAATAACTATCAGACAACGTTTGTTATAATTTCTTATTTCATATTTTTTGTCATCGATAAAAAGAATTAATTAATCATAATTTTTTTGATTTTTAGTCATTTTCTAAAATCATTTAAAATACTGTTGGAAGGAGTAAATCATAACAAATTGTTATTAGAAAATCTAATAAAAAATCTTAAACAATAAGGAATAAATAATTATAAAATTCAAGATATATGATTTGTTTACTATCTGTTGTATAATTTGATATTGAATGAAGAAAAAAATTCAATAAGTTAAATAAACCATCATTTTGTATACAATACAAACATTATTGTAATATATACATATTATATTTACAATTATTTTTTATAATTCACTTACCCGACATTCGCTTCTTTTTTTTCTTTTTTGGTGATTTAGAATTAATTTGCTTATTTCGTTGTTGAAAATAGTCTCTGATACCTAGTTTATTAATTAAATACTGTTTAAAAGATTCCAGTCCGTTTTTACCACCTTCACCATTATGGTAGATCATAAAAATTTTAATATATTCATTTTCTTCTTTGTTCTCTTCTCCATCACTTCCCTCATTCAATTTACCAATTCCTAATGTAATATTCAAAAATGGTAGGTGATGTTCTGTTGGCGAAGAGTCTACTGGGGACTCGTCATTGTTTTTTTCTTCCACTATAGATGAAGTAGTTTCTTCGTCTTCAGATAATCGACTTTTTTTGGAATCTCTTTTTGCCAGTTGCATAGCTATCCGTCGTTTTCTTCTAGCATGGGTCCAAGTATTGTTTTGAGCCGTCAACTGACACGTCCAACAATTTGTTTCTTCATCATCTAGTTTTATTTCTTTAATTTCAATCTAAAATAAAATTAATATCATCATATAAAAATTCTTAAATTAAATTTCTGAATTTTTTTCATAATTTACCTTCAATTCATTTATCCACTCTTTGAAAGCAGTTATGATATTTTCAATATTTTTATATTTATCATTAAATGGGAATTTCAACTCAGTTGTATTATGATCTTTTGATTTGTTTGCAGCTGCTACCAATCTCGTTCTTATTACTGGAGCTGTTGAAAGATTCAATTGATCTTTAGACATAAATGTCCAAGCCAAACCCCATCGCTTTGTGTGCCCCTGACAAAATTCTGTCCAAGTAGAGTTTTCAATATTTCTTTTTTTTAATTCTGACCTACAAAAGGCTAAACTTGTTTTTTGTCCTAACATTGTTGTATAAATTTTTACTTGATTTTTTAATTCTAGACTTTCATCCATCATTTTTGAAACAAATGATTTTTCACCTCCATCAACTAGAAGTTCAGCTTCACTGCCAGTGGATGCATTTTTTGGAGGTGTACGTTTCTTTTTTCTACCATTGATGTCATCGACATCGAAAAATGGAGGATTACACATAGTAAAGGAGTATGTAGATGTAAGAACTGCATCTTTAATGATGTTTGTTCCATCTACTGAAATGACTAAGACAGGAAAGTTAATTTAATAAGTAAATATTAAATTATATAACGATTGTTTAATCAATATTCAATAATAATACTTACTGTTGATTAAATATTCTAAGTTATTTTTCTTAATATTATCTTTGGCTGTTTTTATTGTAGAATCATCAATATCTGTGCCAATAATTTTCCAACCGTATAATTTAGCACACAGTAGTGGATAAATAGCTATTGCTCCAGTGCCTAGACAATAAAAAAACTATTAGGGTTCAATTATGATTGGTATTATCATATGAATATAATATTTTTTTATTTATTATTACCAATATCAATGCCTGATACTTCAGAAAAGCCTGCATGTTTTGTAAGATCATTTATCCAATGAACATAGTTTAATCGTAATGGTAGAGCTGGCACTAATTTATCTACAGGAATTTTTACATTTATATTAAAATCATGTTGAAGTAAAGTTTTTGTTAAAATACGAAGACTTTCTCCACTATTGAAATTGTATCGAAGCTTTCCGGAGAGATCCTAAAAGTTGGTGAAACAACAATTATTAATGAACAACAATGATTGATTTATTAGTTATGTAATATACGACTGTCATTGCATTTAATCAGTTCAAGTAATGAGAAGTTTATTACTCTATATGATTATTCTAAAAAAATATTTTGATTATTTTATTAGTTAAACATAACAACATAATAACAAATCACTTACGACAGTAACATTTTCTCGGAAATCAGAATAAAGATTTGCCAGTTCTTTAAAATTAGGAGGTGTTTTATATTTATTTTCAGGGTGCATGAATTTTCTTAGTGACATATTCTCACTTTATAATGATTTGTAATAATATTTACGAATGTTAATTCATCCACTCTTTGTAAAATTTGTACTACAACTTTATAACCTAACCTTGTTACATTGTTGATATTCAAAAAGAGAGGAAGGGGAAATGAACGAATTTAATTGGTTAGTGACTCCCAAATGATGCGTATTTTTCGGGACCGTTGAAAAAGAAACGCTATAACATTCTATTACGTCTTACAGTTGACAAAAAAAAGCTAACACGAAATTTATTAGTACGATTGTTGACGTCTTTTGATAAGTGAGCTATTTTAAAGTTCCAGTTTACGACGTGGCTATCTTGTCACGTCAATAATTTCGAACGTGTTTAGTTTTTTATTGTGAAAAAATGACTGAACAACTGCCTTTCCGCGTGGAATATGCTAAGAGTGGCAGAGCGTCATGTAAAGCTTGTAAAGTTACAATTGCCAAAGATGAATTAAGACTTGCCAAGCTTGTTCAGGTAATAACTTCATTACATTATTATTGCTAATTATTATTTAACAATCGAAAAAAAAAAAATTACGCCGGTTAACCTCATAACTTAACCAAAACATAACAAAAAAACTTATTTCTTATTGTTTTTTAACCAGAAATAAATTTATGTAATGATTTTATCAAATATATTATTGTTTTTATCATTACACAATTCTCCGAATCCATTATAACAGATAAAACAGATTTGAAATAAAAAATAAAAAGAGATGAACATGATGTATTTAAATATTATCAAAAAAAAAGTGTATATTAAAATTATTTTTTCAACAGAGTCCTTTCCATGACGGGATGATGGCTACTTGGTTCCATCCTCATTGCTTTTTTACTAAAGCAAAGCCGAAGTCTATCACTGAAATTGCTAATTTCGATAATGTCAAATGGGACGATCAAGAGTTTATACGGAAAAAAATTGGTAAAAATTTGGACAATAAATATTCAAATTCAATCGTAGATATATGAATACCTAAATATTCGAATGATCTGTAATTTCTGAAAATTTATATTTTAGAAGAAGAAGGAGGTTCAACTGATAGAGCAACAACAAGCGGAAAAGGACGTAAACGACCAAAAACTGAAGCATTTAAAGATTTCAAAGTTGAATATGCTAAATCCAATCGATCTCAATGTGTTGGATGTGAGGCTCCAATAATAAAAGATAATGTTCGGGTATCGAAAAAAGATTATGAAAGCGAGAAAGCTGTTAAATTTGGAGGACTTGATCGTTGGTATCATTTGGAATGTTTTGCGCAACTTCGGAATGATTTAGAATTTTTTGGAGCAGGAAATAAACTTCCTGGATTTAAAACGTTGAAGTCAGAAGATCAGAGTCTTGTGAATAAACAACTACCAGCGATAAAAGGTGAAGATCTTCCACCAGCATCTAAAAAAGTTAAGAAAGAATCAGTTGATCCTGCAGAAGAAAAATTAATGATCAAACAAAATGATAAATTATTTAAAATGAGAGATCAATTAAAGGCATTAACGAAACATGAGGTGACGGAAATTCTTGTATATAATCATCAGTTTATTCCTGAAGGAATAGACAGGCTTCTGGACTCATTAGCAGATCAAATGACATTTGGAGCGTTACCGAAGTGTGATAAATGTAATGGCCCTTTAAGATTTAAATCTGGATTTGGCTATAAATGTATGGGTAATATATCAGAATGGACTAAATGCGACAATGTGGTTAAAGATCCAGAGAGATCCAAGCTTAAAATTCCACAAGATTTGAAAGAAAAGCATGATTTCTTGCAATCATTCAAATCGAAAGTAGAAAAAAGAATTATGAGAATAGCTTGTACTCCAGCTTCTACTTCTGTTGTAAAAAAAGAAGAAGGTGAGAGTGGACCAAAAATTACTAAAACTGATCTTCCTTTACGGGGAATGCAATTTGTTATTGCTGGTAGAACTTCAAAAAATAAAGATACATTGAAAAAAGAAATAATGCAGCTTGGTGGAACAGTTGTAAATAAAGTACATGAAAATCTTGCCGCAGTAATTTCATCAGAAAAATCTCTTGAAAAAGGTGGGAAACATTTTGATGATGCTGAACAAATGGATATTCAAGTAGTCACAGAAGATTTCATTGAAGAAGCTAAAGATTTTAAAGATGCTCCAGTATCATTAATCACTAAAAAAAATATTGCTGGATGGGGTGGAGATCCAAGTAGTCGTATCTCTGCTCATCTTACCAAATCTGCATCAATGAAAAATAAGAGTATGTATGAAAAATCTGGAGGAAATAAAGTGAAACTACGTGTAAAAAATGGAGGTGTCGTCGATCCTGATTCTGGACTTGAAGATGTTGCTCATATTTATCAAAAAGATAACATGAAATATACAGTTACTTTAGGTATCACTGCCATTGAGACAAATAAAAATTCATTTTATAAACTACAAGTTTTGGAGCATGATAACCAAAAAAAGTATTGGCTTTTCCGTAGCTGGGGTAGAATTGGAACTACCATTGGTGGTAATAAACTCGAATCACATTCACTTAACACTTGTATCAAAGAGTTTGAGCGGCTTTATCTAGAAAAAACTGGTAATCACTGGCGAAATAAAGATTCTTTTGTTAAGCAGCCAAATATGATGTATCCTATTGACACCGATGAAAATGATGATAGCGATAAGGTTGGTAATTTGGAGTCAGAAATCAAAAGTAACTTAAAGAAACCCATTCAAGATCTTATAAGACTAATTTTTGATATAAATATCATGAAAAAAGTAATGAAGGAGTTTGAACTTGATACAGAAAAAATGCCTTTGGGTAAATTATCGAAGAAACAATTAGAGGAGGCCTATGCAGTATTGAAAGAAGCTCAACAATTAATTGTTAAAGAAAACCCTGAAAGAATATTATTAATAGATGTCTCTAATAGATTTTATACTCTGGTACCTCATTCATTTGGTGTAAGAGAACCACCACTCCTAGATAATGAAGAAATTATTAAGAAAAAATGTGAAATGTTAGAATCGTTGATTGAAATGGAAATTGCTTATAGTCTTCTTAATGCTAAAACAGATGACACTAAAAATCCTTTGGATGCTCATTATCAACAATTAAATATAGATGTTGATGTTCTCGATCGTGACAGTGAAGAATTCAAATTAATTGATAAATATGCCAAAAATACTCATGCAGCAACACATTCATCGTATAATTTGGAAATCGAAAACGTCTTCAAAGTTAAACGTAAGGGCGAAGATAAAAGATTCAAGCCCTTTGAGAAATTTCCTAATAGAAAACTTTTATGGCATGGATCGAGAACTACCAATTTTGCTGGTATTTTGTCTCAAGGTCTTAAAATTGCTCCACCAGAAGCTCCAGTTACCGGTTACATGTTCGGTAAAGGTATCTATTTTGCGGATATGGTATCAAAATCCGCTAATTATTGTTGTACAGATGCTCAAAATTCTACCGGTCTTTTACTCCTGTGTGAAGTCGCTCTCGGTAATATGTATGAACGTGTCCGAGCTGATTATATTGAAAAATTGCCTAAAGGAAAACATTCCACTTTTGGTAAAGGACAAACTTGCCCAGATCCCAAGCAAACCTGTAAATTGCCGAACGGTGTTGAAGTTCCTTGTGGAACTCCTGTGCCAGCGGATGCTAAAAATTCGTCGCTTTTGTACAATGAATACATCGTTTACGATGTTTCTCAGGTTAAAGTTCAATACCTGGTTCGTATGAAATTCAAGTACAAATTTTAGAATGGATATAAATTATTTATTTCATACTTGGTCATTAATTATAAAAGCTGAAATGTATTTTTATTATATTCCACCTACCTTTTATATTTCTCGCAACTCATTTGTTTTATTATCATGAATAATATTTAATCATTGAAAAAATAAAAAATAAATGTTTAATGTTTCCGCTGTTATACAGAATATATTTATGTGTAGCTATTGTAATCTAATAAATAGATGTATTTTTTTTTAAAATGAAAATTCAATAAAATTTGAATAAATAATATCGCATTATTTTTTTCCATCATTAAAGTTATTCGTCTTTTACAAAATTTATTTCACAAATATTACTTGTGATAGGAAAAAGGATCTACATATAATAGCGACATTTACTACCAAAAAACATTTATTTATTCAATAATTAACCAAATAACTTTGAATAGAGAGAAATTATATAAATTGAGGTGATATTTCATATTAATGATATAAAAAATCTGGAAGCAATTGGTACAATAATCTGAAAAAAGTACCGGTAATCTATACTGATGACAAAAATAAATATCCTGAAGGTGCTTATATTTTCACGTACCAATTATCTAAGAAAGTACAATTTTGTAAGAATCAATTCAAATCATGGAATCATTAATAAGCTTAGAATATTTTATTGAGATTCGAAAAATAATTGAACTATTTTCGAAAATTTATCACGATATTTGGTTCTAAAGAGTAAGTAAGAAAAAATTCCTGTCCATCATTATCCCGAAATATTTTTTGCGATTTATCATTGGTATGGTATCAGAATGTATTCTATTTTTAACATGAATAAGAACAATTTGGTTTTTGATATATGTATACCTACAAAATCTTAAAAAATTAAAATACCTGAGTGTTATGCATTGTTAAATTTTATAAAATTGCAATTAAGAATGTTGCGATTGATTAATTGATAATGCATACAAAAATATTAAAAATGTCACCTCTTGAAGTTGTTTCTTATATTCTTTTTCAATATTTAACCTTCCGTTATGCCTGATGCTGCTTCTTCATCAAGAATCCAATATAAATTACCGTTGGTTAATTTCACCCGACCCGCAGGTAAATTTTCTTTTAATTCTATTACACGCTGAAATATAATTTTTTCAAAATTTAAATTATAAAATAATTCAATTTAATATTCTGAAATGAACATGTTATAAAGAATTAAATAATTACTTTGATTATATCAGCTTTACTGGCTCCAGTGGCAGCAAAAATACATGCTTTGGCATTATTAATAACCGAAAATGTTAAAGTAATCCTTGAAGAAGGAGGTTTAGGTGAATCGTTTATCGGACAAACCCACCGACTAGTTTCATCAAGTAATCGATGATTAGGAAATAATGAGCATGTATGACCATCAGGACCAATTCCAAGCAAAAGCATATCAAAACGCGGTAGACTGTCTGGTGGAAAATAGACAGACATCTTCTTGATATAATCATTTGCCGCTTCAGCAGCTGAATAATCAATAACTTATATTAATATTTAATAAGTGAATATTTTAATGATTAATAAATTCTATTGAGTAAAAAAATAAAAAAAGCAATGATCATCGGATACCAGAAATATCAGAGTCGACAGTAATAAATTGATCTGCAGTAACTGGAATTTTGCCAATTAACTTAGTTTTGTACTGGCCGAAAGTTGATTCCTCATTATCAAAAGGTACGATTCGCTCGTCACAGAAGAAAAAACGCCACTTAGACCAATCAGTCTTGATTGTAGGTAGACCCTCAGCCAAAAAATTAATTAAAGAACCACCTGTTAACATGCAGTGAATAGTATTATTAATAAGAATAACAGTGTAAAAGATAATGTAACATAATAATAATAATAATTTTAAGTGACAAAAATTAATTTCATCAAGAAAAAACAGGTATAAAATGAATACCTGATAAGCCAATTTTGAAAATGTCATCAGATTCTATTGCATCATTGGCATACTCTTCAATTAAACTGGATAATTTTTTTACAACACCGGCAACATCAGATTCAATATAAATAGCAGTCATTGTTGATATTATTCAATTGTATAAACAAATAATATAAATAAAATAAAGTTAACAATATTTATCATTAGTAGAAGAAGAAAAAATTAATGAAAGACAGATGATGATTATTGTTATACTTGATCAATCTAATTGTTTTTATTTTCTGTAACGATATATGTACGTACATATATACATATATGTATATACTCAATTGCAAAATAATACGTGCAATGGTTATGATATGACTGATACAAATTCTTGCAATTTTAGTACACAACGTTGATCACCTTGCACATCTTCTAAGAAAAAAATTGGAGTGACATCTGAATGAAAAACCAACTGCGGCAGCTTGTAATCAGACAAGAGAGACAACCATAGAAATGCAATTCAAAGAGATGTCAAAAAGTGAGTTGAAGACTCTTCAAAAAAGCTCAGAAGATGGCGCTGCCGTGAAAAGCTGCGCGCTCAACACAAAAACATTAGTCAAGTTTTCAATAAACTACCAAACAGATCGTACTCCAAGACGACACGTGTATGTATTTATTAACAGTTTCTATGAACTAACTTGAATATTTTGATAAAGATTTTATATCACAAATAATTCTGTTGAAATAATTAAAATAAGTTGAAAACGTAAAAATGGTATACTTATATTTTTTTATACTCATTATTTCTTTGGTAAGTTAATTTATTGAAAACCATTATCAAATATTCGTTTCTTAATGACAATTGTTTTATACACTATTTTAATAAATAATTGTTATGTTTGTAAAATAAATGATTACAGGCTGATTTAACATTCTCGAAGGATAGTCCAGACGATTGTTTATCTCGGGGATTTACTTCATCCAACTTATTGTGTTCAACATGTGAAAAATTTGATATTATAAATGAGCCAGAAATGAAGTAAGTATTTAAATTTACTATTTTTAAAAATAAACTTAACCTTAAATATATTTACTGTATAAAAGCGTGAAAATACGAATTAAAATTAAAAGATGAACATTTCTTCAGAAAAAATTGCAAACAATGTTGTCTCGAAGATGAGTCAAGAAGATATCCCAAAGCTATTTTAGAAGTGTGTACATGTAAATTTGGAGCATACCCACAAATTCAAGCATTTGTTAAAAGCGATCGACCTAAAAAATATAAGAATTTATCAATAAAATATGCAAGAGGTGCTGATCCTACTATTAGGCTCTACAACCATGAAGATAAACTCGAAGATGTTCTTGATATTCATAAATGGGATACTGATTCTGTTGACGAATTTCTTCGAACTCATTTGATTATGGATTAATGATAAATTTGTGGTTCTTTAAGGTATAAATATTTTATTTATCAAAAGTATTTTAATTTGTGCAGTATCTAAATACACAATATTATTGTAAAAAATTTTTATAAAAAAATACGATCAATCAATACAGTTCTGGTATATTCTACAATTTTTTTTATCATATCAATAACTCTGACTTATTCGTACTAGAATTTATTCAAATAATTAATTGCGTTTATTTAGTATTTTTATCTTCAGATATTGCTCTTTATCATACGCTCATTCAATTTAAATTAACAGTGTTACTTGTAGATGCATGTGTAGGAGTTGGATTCATTTACTGAAAATATTTTCATTATAATGTTTTATCAAGAGTTTTTCGTTATCAATTACGTTAAAGTATAACGTCACAATAAATATATATTGATAAATGAAATGATTACAAGAAATGAGTGAATTTACCTTTAATTAATAAAGTAATAATATTTATTTTAATATCTTTTTATAAAATATACTTTTTTATTACTTATTTAATATACTTTCAAAATACTCAAAGCGTATGGATGTATATTTCAAGCTTCTTTAATCCTTGATATTTATAAATGATTTATAATCATATATCGAAAATAGTTTGCTTTTATTTTTTTTATACTTTTATAAAAAATATTTACACATTCAGGTGTGAATGTTACTTATGAAAATCTAAACTATCACACATTCACACATTTGTTGAGTAAAATAAATGCATTTAACACAAGCATCATCATCTGTGTTTTCTGCCAATTTATTTTCAATCTTTTTACTGCTGTCATTTCCATTGTGTTGAATTTTCGGTCGTGGTTCTGGACTTGGAAGTGTTTTCTTAGTGATTGTTGCTACTTCTTCAATTCCTCCAACGTCTGATCCTCGATCTGAGGGTAGTTTGGTCGTTGAAGTTAAGGGAATTACTGGTGGTAATACGCCAGGTCGAGCATCATCTGGCAAATCATAGCTCGTTGGTGGTAAAGTTCTTGAGTCAAAACTCCCAGAGTCTCTGGACATCATCACACTGAATAAACGAAAATATTTTATTAGATTATTGTATCAACCAACACATATATTAATTAATTTAGTAGTAGGAAAAATTTAAATTAAAAATACGGTGAAATCGTTTTCAAATTAGCTAATTCAGAATTATTCATTTATTTTATCCAAATGATCCTAGCATAAAACGTACCATCTGGCTTTAATACATGGCTGCAATCGAGATTTTTCATGAGCAGTTAAAGTAGTGTAGAATGACATTTGCTCTTCTGTTATCTGTCTTAAACCCATTTTAGATGTTGAGTATTTATTGAAAAGTCTATAAAAATATTCATCACAAAATTTTTCTATATTTGTTAATATTTTATCAATTAATACACTGATAAAAATATTTTTCTATTCTTTAATTCGATTACTTGACGATCACTGATCTTATAAACTACAAGTCAAATAATTTTGTTCTATTCATTGAACTTCATAGAAGTTAATGAATTTCGATTTCAATCGTTATTTATTCTTATGCTCCAACCACTTATTATTACTTTTTACGGCTTCAAATATTTTTTGGTCATTCATTAACTTCAGAAATTTTTCTTACTTGTTATTAGATTATATTTAATTGGCTGTAGATAGACTTATGATGGACGTTCTGTTTTCTTGCTTGTAATATTTATAATTGATTAATTTTAAACTTTTTTAATTCAAGTAATAGCAATGACGCCACGTGCTAACCATCACAACTTACAGCTGCTTATGCTTTTTACGCGAACTTTACGTAACGTTTCCCCAGGACCTTCTGAATTCTTTACACCCTACAACCCTCGTTTTTCTAACAAAACAGCCGGTTCTTTGTTATCCCCACCAACCCTTGAGCCATTCGCCCATTTTAGTTTTACCCTACGACTTTTGTCCTTTCAACCTAAAAAAATTATTTGTATTTTTTAGAATTTTGGGATAAGACGTCAATTATTTTTTGTCAGGTGTTCAGATCGTAAGAAATTCTTCTTTTTCTTTATATTAGTGTCACAGTTTTTTCCTTATTAGCCACTTTACGTGATGTCACGAACGTTTTCTAGTGTTTTCTATTTAACTTATTGACAAGGGAAAACTTGTCACTCCTCATAAGTTAAAATATTTGTCTTTATAATTCAAAAAATGTTGGATTATCAGCTTTTTTAACTTTCCAATATTATTAATACTTATTTTTTAATAAAAGATTCTTATTCTACTGGTGAATTAACAATCATTTTTTACTCCAAAAAAAAAAGAAGAATTATTTAGAATTCTGTTATAATTAACAATGTTAATTTTTTTTTTAATCATTTATAAATATCCACTGATATTTAAACAATCAATGCAATCACTCAAATATGAATAACGAATAATAATTTATTTCAAACTCAAAAACATCAAAACTATTTTTTCTTTCACTTCAATTCACAAGATGTTATGTCACATCACTTCTAGAACAGAATATTTTTTTATCTTCTGACAGTTCGTTGGCTTGGTCTTAATTTGAAGTGAGCATTGTCATCGCACTACGATGTAAAATCATGAGCGTATTCAACTCGTGTAAGCAATAATACAAGCAGTACAGTATAATAATGAAGCCGGTAGTAGAAGTAGTAGTATGAGTAACCAATGAAAACGAATGAAGAAAGGCAAGTTTGTATGTTTTAGTAAAGAAATAGGCAGCTATTGGTTGAAATTATTCATTCTACCTACGTGAAATTATTTTTCTTGACTTTATAAAATGAATTTAATGTATAAAATACAACATTCAAACTCTACTTTTACTAATACATGTATTCCACCTTCTCATCTTACTTGTAGATTCCTCGCTGAGGCAACGGGTTTTTAAGTCTCATTATATCACCGCGCTTCCCCTTGTTCTTGCTTACACACCAGAAATCCTTCAAATAGCGATAAAAAATTATTCAAACTCGTAAAGAGTCGTATTTCTGTATCCCAAAATATCAACACAGAATTTTTTTATCAATTTTTATGAAAGAGGAAAATTTCTTTCAACTTTTTTTACTACGGTACCAAAAACAGACACCAGGCACGAGACCAAGAGCGTCTGCTGGAACCTGGACCAACATCGACTGAAGAATGTCAGGGACCGTAAAAGGGAAAAGAGAGAATAGTGACTAAAGGACTTGTATATACATACACACACTAACATTTACAATGCTGGTATACCTGAAAGTTTTCGTATGAAATCCTTTGCTCCATCAGAGTTTTGAGCATTCGCCAGTGTTTGATAAAAAATGTGATGAAAGAAGAACATGACTATAGAGTTTTCGTCATTAAAAAAAATTATCCACAAAGTTCTAAGGTTATCAATTATCGTGGTGGTATCAACATTCAATTATTTTTATATCAAATTATCGTTGTGACATATAATCTATAAATATTTCTATTTATTATTTTACTAATGCACTTTTTAGTCGATTCTTACATACAGAGTTCATGAATTATTTTATCAGCACACTGATGAATTATCACGCACACCATTAATTGTAAAAAATGTTTTAAAGATATCATTTACGATTTATATGATACAAAATTAATTAAGTTTCTCTACACCATTCCGTTTTCTGATGCATTCGAATTATGAATTAAAAATATCTCGTTTATTATGAAAAAAAATATTTATCTACTCGACTATTACTCAATTAATTTATTTAGTTGTTAAGTCATGATTTTTTTATCGAAAATTACGAAAATAATTCACCTGTTGTGTGGTCGATGATAATCGTCATTATGCCTGTGTCTTTTCTTGTTATAAAAAATCCAAAATTTTTGATTTTTTCGCCTTGACAATGAAGGAGATCGATGAGGTCTAAATTTTCTTCTTGAAAACATTGTATCAAATAAACTTTTTTATAATTCTTAAAAAATTTTTCGTTTATTTATTTATCAAAAAAATCGGATAGTTTTTCAAGTATTCAAATTTAAATTAAAATGGCTTGCTGGAGTTGATTTCATAAATAGTCTCAGTTTATGAATATTTTATTTAATTTTCCATCAATTATCTCACTTTTAAATTATTTAGAATGGATATTCATTCATGGCCAGTCGCACTAGACATAAACATGTCTTCTGACATTATTGTTGTTCGTAGTCTTTTTTTTTCGTGACACTCAAAATCACGATAATTTTGTAATACAATTAGCACAATTCATTAACGTCTTTGACTTTAAAAAATAATAAAAGTTTCTTTATCAAGATGAACTACTTTTTTATTTGCTATAATAATTTAAAAATGTCTTGAATCTCTGAACAAACTATTGTAACTCAACTGTTACAGACACTGACAAGTCCCTCCAGTTAGGTTCCCCCATCATCATCTAACGAAATACGTACGTTGTTCATTGTACAGTATACAATACAAGTGACGATCAAGAGATGTGGCAATCTTGCTGCATAACTCAATATTATTCCTGCGGCAATTTTTTTATTGTAGTACATCCGATAGGTTGAATCATGATGGAACGGTTTAGCTGTTTTTTAATTAACACATTTATATCAGTGACGTAGTTTATATTTAAAATTTAAATTGCGGTTTCTATATATATATATCATAAAATAAACATTCAGCCGTAAAAAAGATTATAAGAATTTAAATTTAAAGTAAAAATAATTTTTTGTTCTTTTTTTATTCGTTGATTTCAAATAAATTGTCATTTATTTCAATTCTTTTTTTGTCAGTGAATCAATACAACATTGCCACATCTTTTAAATAAACTTTCTATTTATTTCTACAACTATTGCTGACATTGTCAATGATTTCCATGAATTTGTATTTTTAAAGTAATATATTCATTTCTTTTTTAACATATTGAATTGAAGTAATTGAATTTTCATATGTATATAAACTTATTACCTGGGAGTCGTTGATGTACTTGGTGTATTTAATACATGAGTATAAACATCTGCTACAACAACTTCCATCATTCTTGATTTTTAAATTTTTCACTGATAAATTTATAAAAATAATATTGTGTTAAAGTATCTCGCGCGACAACACACAAATTGGTAACTACTGTCGATTTAATTCATTAAAAACAAATTTTTTTTATCACATGACTAACGACACTTATATTAATAATTATTTGTTGTAGTTTTGCTTTTATTGATGATTATTATGACTGCATTTATATCAGTTTTGAGCAATTGAATAAAAAGATTAGAGAGCCACTTGAGTTATAGTCTTTATCTATTGCTTGTGTTCAGCAAGACTGACAGCGTAACAAATAGTGGCAAGGTTTTATTTCCCACCGCCAAAAAAAAAGAAACAAATCGAACCAAATACCTTACTATTCTTATTTTTTCTGGTATTCTTTTCCCATATATTCTATAAATTTTATGATTAGTCAGCCGTAAAAAATTTATTTACTATTTAATGCCTTTTATATCGAACATTTGTTTAGCTATAAATGTTACAATTTATTTACCACTTATAAATTAATTTTTTGACTTTTCATAATTTAATGTTATTGATTTTTGATAGCAATATTCAATGGTTATGTTTATAATACAAGCTCTTATGAAACTAAAGCATTCTCTCAGAATACTTTTTAAATTTACGTTGCACTTCATTCTGATATCTTGTTTCCAAAAAAGGCGCATGAAGCCAGGTGATTTCATCACAAACCAGTGACACTTTCACAAGTAACAAGGGGTAAAAAATTTTTTAATATATGTTAGCCTCATTTTTTATAACAAATACTCAAATATTTACAACTCACTTAATATTTAGTAAATATAGATAGCGAATTAATTATTGAGCACATAATACAAATAATCATTTTCCCATTCTAAGTAACATGTCAGTAGTAATACAACATTATTAATTATCATAATATTTGTTGATTAATAAATTATTACTTTCAAGGATATTGATAGGGAATAAAGAATAGAATGGAAATTAATTAAAACAATAACAAATACATATATTCTTTAGGAAGGTGATACAATAGATTTTCATGTTGAATATTTTTCACTCATAATTTTAGCGCATCACGTATTTTTTCTTTTAATTTTTTTTCATTTTTCATATTGATTTATTTATTTAGTATTTTAATATTTTTGTTATTTTATATCCATCAATAGCTCTTTTTTATCACATTGCAGATCAAGTTTATATACCATTGCAACAATATATTCTAATTTTCAATCATTTCATCTAATAATATTTAGTTTGAACAGTTATACCGGATGAATAAATTGCGACAGAAGCGGCTGATACGACTGCGATATTTTTTTCTGCTACATAATAAATTTATCTAAAATTCGATGATTTATCTGTTTTTAACTATTGTAAATATGACGGACGATTTCTTTATAAAGCCATAATAATTAGTTACAAAAAATTTTTAACAATCTTAATTTTATACAATATTTTATCGTCAATTATCTACATGTTTAGGCCAAATAAATCACTAAAATAAAAATAAAAAATTTCATTATTTCCCTTTTTTTTAACAAATTAACAATTAGTTAAAACAAAATAATGTAAAACATACGAAATAATCAATTATATATAATACCAGCACAGTACTCGTAATACATACTAAAATATTGAAAACAAAAAATGAAAAAAAGGCATCAATATTTGTTAAAACAATTTCCATCATAAATCAAACGATCATTTTGATCATTATGGTTGCGTGCATTTGCTAATATAAACTTTATAATTCTGCCCTTTTTATTTTTTTTATTTTTCTTTCATTTATATATATTTTTTTAAATATATATATTTATAAACAAAATAAACATCTAAAAACTTAAAAAGAAAAGGCTAATTTAGAGCAACTACGTTACTCAACCTTTCCAATCTATTTTTCATTATTTTTTAAATCACTTTTTTGCCATTTATTTTAGCAGAATGTCCTTAACAATTCTTCATTTTATTTAAAAAACTGCAAATCTGGACGTAAAAAATTCCCAATAAAATCTCTTATTTGCGATATTTTATGACATAATTCGCTGTAATTCATGCACATTCTGCATAACTACAATTCTTTTTTTTTATTTTATCCCAGTTTGTTTTTTTTTCTACATGTATAATAGCTTCTCTTTTATCTTCAATTTGTCATATACAAATTAATTTAATCATGGTAACGATCATGCCCAATTTTTATCGTACAATTTAGATTTATTAATTATTAATTAATATTAATTGTCATTCAATTAGGGGCATTTACACAGACACACTTTCACACATGCTTTCTGGTTCTCCTTGTCTTTCCTCTCGCATTCTCTTTTTCGCTTATTATAATTTTTTTTTGCTTTTGTATTGTTCGTAACTGCAGTATATGACATCGACAATGACGTAATCTAACTATACATATAACTATGTACAAGTGAGGCGACGGTGGTTAAGAAAGAAACAATTGTTCTTCTTCAGCGATTAGGATAAGGATACATGATTTTTTGTTACTATTATTATCATTATAATTATTTTTCTAAAGGACCCAAGGAACTTGAGGACTTGAAGCTCAGGGGAGAAGGAGAGGAATCGACAAGTGGAAGAATTTATGAAGACGGGGAAATATGCATCGTTGAGATACTTTTCTCTCTTCTGCTGCTTCCCAGATGGATCCCTCTTTCATCACCCAAGTTATAATTTTAAATTAATTGATAGATTGAAATGACCAAGAGAACCTTACTGTTTGTTAGACGTCTGTGTACTTGCTCAGTTTATCTCGTAGCAACATATTTTCATTCTTTAACCGGTCAAGTTCCTGTCGCAGTCCCATGTTCTAAAAGAGTAAAAATTTTTTTTTTACACCATTATGTTAACACCATATGTAATTTAGAATTAAAAATTATTTTAAATTAATTACTTCTTTCTCTAAAAATCCGGCTCTTAAAGCTATTTGATTCTCTTTCATACGACGTGCATCTCGCGATCTTTTAGCTGCCATATTATTCTTCCTGCGACGAGCCCAATATTTGTCGTCTTTCAAGTCATCTGGGACGAACTATAAAATCAATAAAAAAATTAATTAGTCATTACATTCGTTAAGAAGCTCATATAATATGAGAGAAAAATTCATTTTCAAAGGAAAACAACTATTTAAAATAAAGAATTATTATTTTCTAGCTAAATTTAAAATTGTATGTTTTTTTTTCAATTTCTGAAAGTGTAAATTTTTAATTATATTTAATCAAGTAATTTTTTTCTCAGTAAAAATACTTTTTTCTCTCATCAGTATAAGAAATGGAAAAATATAAATACCAATTTTTTTACCTGTTTCCGAGACTTCTTGATCATCGGTTGGGGTTTGAGTTCCTCATCGGAGAAGGCTCGGGTCCTCGGGTCAAAGTCTCGTCCCGATGACGCCATCGAGAGCGCTACAAGAGACAAGCCATATTGTATACATGACGAGTCCCCGGAATCTGTTTCTCGACAAACAAAAAGGGAATCGACAAAAGCGGATACCATGTTAGTTCAGTTCACGAAAGGGCGTTCCCATCATGTTTTTCATTTCATTTTAATACCTGACACGTGTATCGACTTTTTTCTATTCTACTTTTTATATTTTAAACTCAACTCTTTCAACTCAAACTCTTCCTTTGCATTACCTCTATTATACTCTATCATCAAAGTGAATTTCATTTACTTTTCATCTGAGAAATTAATTCATGGATTCAAGGAAATAATACCAATCAAAGAATAAAAACTTACTCGAGTCGGCAGGTGATGGTGGATTTAAAGTATCAGGTGAACAACATTCACTTGGAGATGGAGATCTTTCACGTTTGGTAACAGGTTCCAAATGAAGTCCTGCTGGTCCTTGATGACTTACTGCTTCATTACCGTTATTTAACTTGTGTAATTGTCCACCTTGCATTGTTCCTTGTACTCCACTACCTACTCCGTCTACCGGGATCCCATTTTCTGATAAAAATTCGTCCAGATCCACGTACTATTGCCAATAAAAACATTATCAGTAAAACTATCCAACAAATACAAATATTTATTAATTACCAGAAAATTAAATTCAAAAAAATAAAACAAAAATGCATGCATTATTATTATTAATAATAATTTATTGATTTCATTAGTCATTCCATAAGATAAAAATTTGTTCAAAAATTTCATCGGCATTTTTAATTCGTTAGGTTGGAGGATTATTTTATCATTATTCATTTGATAGCTGAATTCTTTTATAATAGAAAATAAATTTCAAAAAAAAATATATAGACGCAGACTTGCATCTAGTATATGGAGGCGTGACGATATCACAGAGGGTGAAAGTCTTGATGGTTGGTTGGCTGCTCTATGCGCATAGTAGATTCAATGCCTACAATACTAGACTTGCTCACAGCAACTTCATGAGCTTCCTTGTTTTCACAAATCCAGGAAGTCTCACAGTTGCTACTCCAGCGCAATATTTTTTTTATTCTATGATTGCGTAACTTTCGCGTGTCTCAAACAACAGCAAATAGTATTGTAAAAAAAAAAAGAAAAATATAACACGATGTAGAGATATAAGATGATGGAAATTCTTTTTATTTTATTTTTAGTTTCTCTCTTAAATCAAATTTCATATCACACTAACAGTAAATCCATCAAATCAAAAGATAAATACAAAATGCATGCATCATTGTCTAGTAAAATATTTATCAACTTCACAATTTAAAGAAAAAGAAATCGTTGATTGGATCTAAAAATGATCTTATCATCAAACTAGATATTAATTAATAATTAATTTTTTTTTATATCACTTCTTTTCAAAATGTTAATGTCTTACCGTATTTTTAATTAGGTCAATATAATATTTCTCATCCTCTTTTCACTCATTTAATTATCGAGTTTTCTCGTAATACATACATGATTCAATACCTTCAGGTCGGCATCGTAAGGTAAAGTTTTGTCCCAAAGATTCGGACCCAAAAATGCGGCTTGCGCTTCCACGTTGCCCCACAGTTCACCATCAGCATCTTTCTTTTCTTCTGGACCATCTTTACTTTGTTTTCCTGAGACAAAAAATTTTATTTCTCATTAATATCCGAATATGTTATCAGATTTAATATCGATAAATATTAGAAATCATCGACTGCTTCATCATTAATATAAAGAACCAACGATTCTACACACGGGAGAACGGCATTGCGGGTCGACTGTCAAGGCTATGAGACCATGCTTGTCACGCCACTATGTTCAACACATTCAGTGAGATCAAAGGAAAAAAATGCAAGCTAAGAATTCAAAATAAAAATCGAAAATATTGCTAATTATACACATAATCAAATTTAAAAGCTAATATTTCATTGTTATAAATTACTAGGTATTCCTTTATATGCTGGTTTTTTTATTACAAATGAATGATAGATTTTTCATTTATTCGTTTTTTTATTTATTTCTTTATTTATCTATTGCTAGTGAAGCGTAGTGCCGGAGTACGCCTCGCAACGGGAGATTAGTTCCGCAGAGAGGTTCGAGAGCGTTTTTAGCCTTGAACTAAATTACAGACTGACCGTTGTTTAGTTGTTTAGTTGTACTGGACATTCAATTCCATGCGATATTAACTTTTTCCTTCAATTTGACTATAATCTATTTTTTAACAATCTCCAACAAGCAGTCTGCTATTGTTAGTACGAATAAAAAATTTTTTTCACTATTGTTTACAGGAAATAATTGAGTATTGATCAAGTCTTTTATTAATTCGCCGCTAATTATTTCAATCAGTTAAATTAATTGTGTGTCATTTGCTTTTATTTCGATTATACATAAATGAAATTTATGGCATAATTATTAATGCTGTTGTTGTAGATATTAAATTATTTTACGGAAAGAAATGAAAAGAAAGGGGTAAATAAAATCTTGATGAAACTTGAAACTATTAAAATCTCTTGGGAATATAAAATATATGCACATAAGATTTATTATATATACTTTTTATTATATATATATATAAGTAAGACAGAGATTCACTTTCATTCTCACATTCGCACTAAGTATAAAAGTTGACGATGTAATCTCAGACGAGTATCCTTGATAGACCGGTCACGGTTCAACAAGAACCACCATCGTCATCCAGTTTCCATCATGCCAAGAAATTCTACTTCAATTTTATGAAACATCTTATGCTAGTGGTTAATATGTATAATAATTTAATTTACTACATAATCCAGGAAGTATAATTTTTCAAGGGAAAGAAATACATTTGAAAAGTGTGGGTGTAAAAAAGAATCGATTAAAAATTTATCAACAGATTAATTTGTACTCAAGTGATGGAAATTGATAAATCAATACACCTTCAAAATTTTTATCAACTGGCCATGGATAGTCCGTGAATCAGTTAAATTTAATTAAGTGATATGAATATTGTTAATAAATATTGAGTGAATATTCTTCATTATTAATAATTACACAAATAATTGATTTCAATTATTAGCAACATAATTGCACAAATTGAAATATTGTTATCGTGAAAGAAAATAAAATTCGATTTTTCAAAGGTAATTTATTGATAATAAGTTTAATATCAAATCAAATTAACTTATCAAACATGTTAAAAAAAAAACAAATAATTAAAAAAATATCATATCAAGTAATAATTATATATTATTATAATTAACAAAATTACTTGTATAAAATGTTTCATATTTTTTATTTAACGTAGTTGATAATTTAATTCAAAGTGAATCACACTCTGTCTATAATTAATTTTTCAACAAAAACAATTATGAATAATGAAATAAAATAGATTAAGTCTGAAACACGATAATTATTCAATACTTTCAAACAAGGAAGAAGAAGGAATAAATAATTGTAAAATGGAAGTAGGCTATAAAGATGCTGGAAAGGCAATGAGTTAACTCAGGATGTGTAGCCGATGAATTACAGAAAGGTGTGGAACGCGGAACGCAATTCGGAGAGGCAAGAGTATCAGAGAAGGCGTCCTTGGCCACTTGACTAACGTGGGACTTGATGCTAAAGATCCCACGGAGTACATTTGCTCGTTAGTTGTTTTTAAATCATTCACACATTCTCACATTTTAATGTGCATCGAGTGTATATTTATTTATCCACCCATGCGTTTCTCTGTTACTTGGTGTGTTCATGAGTTTACAATTATTTATTTCTTCCATTTATTAACCACATTGATCATGATCTACTGTCAGAATCGAGTTGCAAGCTGGTGTTTAAGGAAGTAAAATGTTTCAAAGAAAAATAAAAGTTTGAATTGAAGAGAGAGAGAGAGGGTAACAAGTGTTACGGTATGCTAGCAGTAGGCAGTGAAAGTTGCTTAAGCTACTTTCCCTTTAGGCCTTTGTGGCTCGAGTCACTTAACTGAAACACGATTTAACTCGCGAAGCAGGAAGCTATTGAGCTCCTTCAATTTCCGGGCACCAAAAATTTTATCTATCAATTATTTTTTCAATATTTTTCTATCATTATCAGTACATTTGTACAGAAAAAAATTCATTTATAATTAGAAAAAATGTATATTTAAATAATTTATCACTTGAACAGGTAGTGTAATTAAATGTCTCATTAATTCATATTTATCTTTCTTACTTATTTAAGCTTGAAGTATTGATGAAAATTATAATAATTATTAGATGAAAATAAACTTGGTATTCTTTTTTTGTCATTGTATTGAAATACCAAACTTTCTAATACATTTTTTGACTTATCCAATGGAGCATTCTTTTAAAAAAGAAACGTTTAAACTTTTTGTATATTTCATCTTGTTCATTAAATCAATTTTATGCAATTGCTACTGCATTGCCGTTAGAATGCCTTTTTTATCTTAAATAATATGAAGTTGATATAAAGCAACCTCGAAATCATGGTCAGGGACGTCAAGTTTGTAGTATTACCGTATAACTACAGTCTCACACCTCCACTTATTATTAATACTAATAAAAGTAGTTATTGTTCAATTCTTCTATTGTCTATCTATAAAGTTATTTGACAAAACAGATTATTATTTTACCTGAATTAAATTAAGAATCAATTGATAAATACCACGAATATTTAGTGATAGAGATGCTTCATCAACTCTAAGATACAAACATGTCAGTAATTTGGGTTTTATTTTCAGATTCAACGAATGAAAGGTGGGTCAAGCATGTCTGGTCAATTCACTTTCAAACTTTCTCGAAGTACTGACTACATACCAGTTCTCTTACTCGCTGAGTAATAGGCAATAAATAAAAATCAAATGAATCGAGAGAAAAAGAAAACATGATAAAAAGGGAATGACGAAAAATAGAAATAAAGAATCGCGAAAAGACAAGTGGAAATTGTTGCATAATATAATGGAAACAAAAAAAAAGAAAGTCGACTTGGAAGTCACGCGGAAATGAACGATTGAGAACTAGTGAAGTGATGGAGAATTAAAATGATAAAAAAGAGCAGAAAAAATTGGATGAATTGGAGAAAAGATTTTATATGAACGTTGTTTTTTTTATAAAAAAGCAATTTAAAACATAGAATTCAACTGAAGAGAGTAAAAGTGGATTTTTTATAGATACAAGTAAATTACAAAAAAAAACAATTATTTTGTTAATCTTTTTTTTAAGTTTTATGTATTCGTAGACATTTTTATCCTGTAGCAAAAGAATAAATATTTTAATTATCTTTAAAATAGCGATATAACAAATAAAAAAACTGCGTAGAAGAGTTGTATTAATATTTAGTGGTATGTCAATATCTATCTAATCAAATTCTGATTAAAATTAGCAGCTTTTCGAGTATTCGATTAATCTTAGAATTGGAATAAGAATAATGAATGATTAAAAAGAGTACAAGAAAAAATATTATTATTAATAAGCTAAGTCAATAAGCACCGACTGTGTTATCTAAAATTAATTCCTAACAGCTGTCGCATAACACCAAGACGCATGTATCTCCATATGTACTTCTTTGATGATGCGTGTCAAGGACATTTTAACGCGATTCTATCTATATCAATCTATGGTCAATGAATCTACTTTTTAATTAGACTGTTTACTTCCTAAAAATTCAAATTACTCCATATCATTACCCTGTTACTATTATTTTATATTTTTCTTGGTAAATTCAATAAGCTTGATTGTCTATTGAAAAAAAAGTAGCATTCAGTTTGCAATAAATGATTAATTAATGTTAAAATAACTATTTAATTGGCTTTATTAATGATCATAGCCAATTAACTATTTGCGATCTCTTTAAAGACCACCAAAGAGAACAATTAAATCACTGTGTATGCATCTTTGATTTATTATTACGCAGCTATTTATTAATTGCAAAAAAAATTTAAGTTAAATTTTTACAATTATGAAAAATAAAAGTAACAAAAGTGAATTTAAATACAAAAAAAGTATCATTAAAAGTACCAGAAATTAAATTTTTTGTCATTTTTAGAATATTTTGAAATTAAATCTCGAAAAAGGAAAGTAAATTGCTCATAAAAATATTTATATATTTTTTTTTTAAAACCATTAAAAAATTTCTTTAAAAAGAATTTTTTTATTATCTTTTATTTTCGAATTTTGTTTTTTTTTATAGAAAATCTTAATGAGTTTATGTGATGTAAATGGTTTTAAAGTTTATGTCAGTATAAAATAAATTAATTCTGTCATATAATCTCTTTAATTCTATATCAGATTAAGGGAAAGTTATTTTCCATTTCAAAATATTTACATTTTGCTTTCAAAAAAACCATGAAATTTTTATATCAATTATCGTAGGATAAATCTCAAAAGTTAATGTCACTTTTGGAAAAACCAACTTTTTAACAGTGAAAGTTTTGTCGAAATTGGTCCAGTAGTTCGGGATATAATCGTGGACAAATCTACATGCATGTTACATATGTAAGTATTAACCAAGATCGTTTATTTTTTTTAAACCTGTCTTAATCTGTGTTTAAACTGATTGAAACGGTTCCCAAGTAGTTGAAAAAAATTTCTCTGCATTTCTACATTTTATTAAAGCATTTATCAGTCAAGAGAGAACCTAATTACTCTTCCTGTGAGTAATAAAA